CTGGCAACCGGATGGCTGCGGTGCTGGAGGCGCGTTGTGATTTCCTGTTTGTTGCTGCATAGAGGAAGTAAGAGGCCCCTCAGGGATGGTCTGAAGTGTGAAGCAGAGCTGTGAGAGCATTTCTGAGGTGGAATAGCACGACTTAAGTGTGAAAATGGATGGCTATGCATGAGGGTTTGATATGTGTGTTTTTTTTTTAGCTCAATTCTCATTTAATGGCGGTTCTTGCCTCTTTCTTCAGCTTTGCTGTTATGTGCATCAGTTAAATGGCTAAACTTAGAACCTGAGACCTGATTCAGCTATATTTAAAAGGCTGTGGCACAAATGGGAAAAAGTCTTCCAGGGGATATTTGGAGTTATTTACAGATCCTGACAGAGTAGAGTCTAAGCCAGGTATGTCCAAAGTCGGTCCTTGAGGACCGCTGTCCTACAGGTTTTAAGTGTTTCTCAGCTTCAGCACAGCTGAATCCGATGATTGCAGTTCAGCAAAAGCCTGTTAATCAGCTTTCAATGCAAGTCAGTTCTGCTGAAGCCAGGACACTTCTAAAACCTGCAGGACAGCAGCCCTGGGAAGACGCCTTTGGACATGCCTGGTTTCCAATTATGCTTTTATTGAAATCGGTTGTTTCAGTTATATTTTGATAGGCAACGCAGTTATCTTGTTTGGAAGTATATGCCAAATCATTGGTGCAAAATTGAAGTGCCTTTTTTTCACGCTTTTAATTTCTTCTCTTATTCATTTCTGCTTTTTTCAAAGCACAAATATAGAGTAGCTATTTTGAAAATAAAGGGAAACATGCCAAGTACTGTACTATTGCTCCTTTCTAGGTGGGGGTACCACACAGTATTTGTGCTCTGGGTCCCCAAATGGCTTGCACTGCCCCTGATATTGCCTTTTATCTGAAATAGTGCATTTTTGCAGCATCATGCTCTCCCTGGATGCACTTTTTCTATCTTTTAGCTTCCAATCCCTGTTTCCTTGTGTAGTGGAGGAGTGTTCAGAGCTCTGCTGCTATTATTAATCTCTGCTCCAGTTTGAGTCCTTTTGGAGTCAGTTATACATCACAGGCGTGATCATTTATTTTCTCCACTTTACCTCACTCATCCATCTAAACTCTTTTCCCAACTGCCTCGTATTGCTGACGCCCTGTCAAACCCAGGATCTTAGTGTCCTCTAAAACTAAGCTTTGTGTGGACTCAGTGCTGAATGCCTCACTTGTTTGAGTTAATGTAAATTCTTCATCATTACTCATGTTTCCATCAATGTTTTTTATGAGCATTTTTAAGTATCACATTAGAAGAGGTTCTGGGAAACACTGTGATTCTGATCAAGTGGATAAAATTCCCCAAACTGTTTTTATTTTATTTTATTTATTTTTTTTTGCTGGCTTGGGGTGTTTTTTTTTTTATCCTTTCTTAAAAGCGTAAGTGCTAATGAGGAGATGGAAACACGTGTCCACTCACCCTCAACTGATAGCTGATTCTGTACCAAAAAATCCTTAAAAGCTCAGTCTATTACTGATCTTTGGTAGACATAGATTGTTTATTCTACTTTCTGTTTATTAGAGCCAAGCGCAATCTAAACAGATAATGACATTATATATTACATCACCGGGCTAAATCGCTCCAATAGATGAAAAAACATCTAATTCGCATTTTTTTCATCTGAATTTTTAAAAGTTTGCTCAAAATTTGCTTGATTTTCCGATGAAAGCTAAGCTACTAAGGTAGTTAATACTGCAAATGAGCGTAAAATAAGATTGGACAAAAATGGAAATAGAAAAAGAACTGCGATGAACCCTCAAGGCTTTTAGGATGATTTTGTTGACTGATAACAAGAAAAGTGGAACTTTCTGGAAAATGTTCAGCCCATCTAACACTGCATTTCATAGAGAAACAGCCTATAGACAGTAAAACATGGTATTGTGATGTAAGTAACCGCAATTATTGAACTATTTATTATTATTGTGGGAAATTGGAATTCAGGAAAAGATAAACAATTTATTTTGATAATAGTAAACTGTAATTCATACTTTTTTTTATCATCTTTTAAATTCCAAACATTGTTTTTTGGTGTTTTTCAATACAGCCACTATAACATTATCTTTGGAAACATAGTTTAATGCAATGGTTGTATAGAGTCCACTTGCACTACCTGGTGTGCTAAAAAGCCTATTTCTCTTGGTAGTTTTACCTTTAGACCTGTATTTCTTTTGTTTCCCTGGTTTCTGACTGTGTAGAGACAGATTTAGTGCCAAAAAAACAACAACAGTGACAAATATTTTAAAATGAATTTCTCCACTTTTCATGGTTTTTTATTAAACGGCACAAACTATCATCACAGTTGTTCCGTGCTCATCAACAACCCCCTGTGTGATGGTCTTGGGCTGATACAGGAGATATAATTACTTTCCTCATTTAATGAAAGGGTTACCTCTGCTTTGAAGAAAGGAGAAGTTCAGATCTATTTAGTTTATTTACCAGAAGCTTTACAGCAGTTCTGTTATGCTGTAGAACAGGAAGGATTAAGTATTTAATGCTTCAAAACCCTTCTACAGTGGACAGACTTTCTTCCACATCAATGTCAGTGACTAATTTCCAATAAATCCAAATGCTTGATGGCGGTTATGGCTGCAGGGGATGGGTGGGGGCATGTTACTGGGTTTAGTGAACTATTGCTATTCCACCTGGTTTAGTTGGTTTAGATAGATTTCTTTTCCCTCCATTAATGAAATCTAACTGCTAATGAAATTATATTCTTTTATTTAGCTGGGTTAATGTTCTAGTATAAAAGCTTGTTTTACAAACTGAAGCCTTTTAGTTTGACCAAACTAAGCAATAGGAGGGAGGTGAATACGTACTCTGAGCGGCCTATAGGGTTTTTGTTCTGAATGTTTTATACTTTTTTATTGTGACAAATTTTCATCAAACAGAAATGTGTCCAAAATTGTTATTCAGAGATGCATCCAGTGCTGGTAAGCAATATGGAGTTAAGAGAGAATCAGATTTTAGGGAACTCCTCTTTTAAGTTCCTGCTCAGTGGCACATTATGTTTGTATGAAAGCTCATTGAACCGTTGGCAATGATTGCCTGTATTTTATTACCCTTTTTCCTCCCTTGAGTTGAACTCTTTGCTGGTTCTCCATCACGTGGTGAGTATAGGGCATGGCAAGTACGAGAGAACAGATGTTGCATTTTTTTTTTCTTGTTTTTCAGTTCTATTGAAGTACACTTGTTTTTATTTCAGATAAAAATCACATCATGTTTCATTGGTAAAGTTTAGCTGTGGGTAGAAGTTTCTGTTTTGCATTCATTTTAAAGCTTGTTACCATTAGAAAATTCTGACCAATCAGAGAAATGTTCATTTTGGGGCTGCAGCTGAGATACTGTAATGCTTCCTGTCAGTCAGTAAGCCCATGTTTAAAGTCAGTTTGTGTTTTCGGCCAGACGTTTCCTCTAACGTGTTGCTAAAATCGTTTAAGGAACTGAAAGTCAGTGTTGTGACAACAACCAAAAAAGCTGAGAAGCTGTTCAAAGGCATGAATACTTGAGGTGTTCTGCAGAGTTTCACCTTGCTTGATGTTGGCGTTTGGACTGCGCAGACGCAGATCTTCCTCTGGGCATGGATAAAATGGGAGGTTGAGCACATCTCGGAAATACTCATTTTAATGTTACTTTAATTTTGATGCAAAAGCTTAAGTCTGCTAAAGTTGTGCTTTTTTATTAGGGATATTTATTTAGCCAACTTCAGTATTGAAAAGTGTGTTAAGACATAGGGCTGGGCAGTAAAATGATTTTTAAAATTGTATCGCAATAGACATAGTATTAAGAAAAGTCAGATAAAGTGATAAAGTGCAATCCAGAACCGCATGGCATTCTGGGGGATGGAAGCAACTTCTGCCAACACTCCCAAACTCTGAAAGGTTAGTAGTACGGCTGACCTCTTTTTCTAAATGTCATGTGTAAATAGGCTTTTTAAATAAACTCAGAACCGTTCATTATTTCAAATGGATTAAAACCAAAACGGACCTATAATTATCAATTTTGACTGATTGCTGACAGGTCTCAGCACCAACGTGTCATTTAGTTTTCACACCAAAGCAATCAGTGCTGTTTGTTTTAAAACATATTTAAAACAGCTTCATGTCTCACTCTTTTAGGTAAAGAACTGTTGTACTCTCTTTTTCAAGCAGCTGAGCAGCAGTGTGCAGCAGCAAGTAGATTACGGTTTGATTTTCTCTCCACAATGCAGCTCTCTCTGGCATTTTCTTAAATTGCTCTAATGGTGCACGGCGGCTTAATGGATAATTGATAACCTTTTTCACTTTGATACTGGTAAGCCGTTCATGCTTTAGTGAGAATCCCAGCTCTGCCTTCACTGAGGTGAAAGCAGAGCTGGTGGAAGGAGGAAGAGAAAGTAGCAGTGATAAGTTCAGACTTTCTCACCAACATGCATTCATTATTTATCCCACTTTTCTGATCTAAAAGATGCTTCAGTCCACTAAAACATGGCTGCAGGTGCAGACATGCACATGCTGTACAGTATAGGCAACTTATAGGACTTAGGATAAGTTAGCAAGGAGTATTTGGTTTTATTTTGTATTTATTTTATTGTATAATATATTTTAATCTTAACATTTTTATTATGACTTCCACCAGATTATCATTTAAAATAAGCATAAGAGAAAAAATGAGAAGTAAGAACTAGAATGTCCACTTGTAGTTTCTGTTTAAATGCTCACTGATGCTGCATGAGTGGAGGACCCTCCAAAGTCTGAAACGCTCTTGTCATTTTGAAAACATTTGCTTTAAGTGTTTCTAATGTTTCATTTTTTGCTTTTTTCCCCCACTATTTCTGCACCTTGGAAAGTTTCCCAGTTTGCTTTTATCTGTGTTTTTCTCCTTGGTGTGCAGGAAGACTCCGACTCATAGTCGACCCTAAGTCACACTGTGACGCCAGCTTGCCCATTTCCTGATTGTTCCTTTCTTTTGTCTTACAGAGGGCAGAGTCCAGTGCAGATAGAGTCCAGCTAAGAGCAGAAGATGCCAGCCCCACCTCCCCCACCTCCCCCTGGGCCTCCCCCTCCTCCCACTTTCGCTGTTGTAAGTCCCCTTCCCATCTTAGAAGGCGAACTCAGCAGAGACATCTTGTGGTTGAACCCTTTCATGACAAGTTAGGGTTTTTTATCCTCTTTTAGAAGGAAACTCAGTTTCGTTTGCAAATTATTTTCAATGAATAGAGATTTAAATCCACCTGGTAGAAAAAAAAAAAAAAAAGACTGAATATGTATGTTGGTAAAAGTAAATTAACCAGAACAGATATTAGATCATTTAGATCCGTTTATGCTTTTCTCTTTTGCTTTATGTAGATTTTGCTTTTCTGCAGAAATTAGGACTAAAATAGTCAAAAAAAAAAAAAAAAAACATTCATGTTTAGGGTCTACCATGACTTTACTGTTATCCCACTTTACTAAAACTTTACTAATTAAGTCATTGGTACAGTATGCATTGTGTCGATCCAAATATTTCTCTCTTCTTTTTATGACTTTCTCTGATGTTCTTGCAGTTTTTTTCTAAGCACTGCTGCCAAATTTGTCAATATATTTTGTGACTTTTTTCAAATGAGTGAACAGCAACATATCTAGCGACTATTTTCTGTGTTGTTGGAGACTTCAGCAAAAAAAGTGGCATTTACCATCTTTAGGGAGCAGTGAGTGCTGCTGCCAGCCCCTCCCTTTCCCAAGACACTGACAGTTGGTCAGAGTCGGCGACAAACTATGGCTGCAGTCAGAAAGAGAAGCACGACTTCCCTCTTTTTCCCCTTTGAAAACGAGTCTCACATGCATAAAGCTTCCACTGATCACCCCTAAATGAAAGTGAAGTAGATATTATATTTAACATCCTTTTTTTTTATATGAAACCATTGCACTAAAAGGGTCCTATAACAGTTTTTAAGAGGAATTTTAGGTAACGCTTTCTTTTACAGTACATCAATAACGATGTAATAACATGGTCATAAGATAGCAAGTCACACTATATTGCTTGGTAACAAGAAAAACTTTATTTGGTTATAACCCCAAAATTAAGGTATATATGCAGTTAATTTACCTGCATGTAATTATTACAATTGTATGTCACTATATTAACAATGGAGACTTTTGGTGGGTAATTACTATTAGGTTAGCACATAACAGTTTCCATTATTGGCCACCACCTACCAACAGCCTACAAAGTAAATTGTAACTTGTGATCAGGTTAATAGATCATTATATAACTGAACTCAAGTTACATATAAATAAGAGTTAAGTTAAAAAGATTGGTTTGTCGTCTTCTAGGTTCGATTTTCTATTATATGCCAAGAAATAAACTGCATTTTACTAGATAATAACACATTGATTCATTGCTGTCAGTGAAATGACTGAATTGCCTGTTTTTTGTTTTATTTTTGTTTTGTTTTTTCTCTCTTTTTACCTTTAGCACTTTGAGATGTTTTAAAGGAAAGTGCAGTATAAATTAAATGTATTATTATTGTTAATAACGGTTTGCCATCTAAGAAGTCTGACTTGTTGGCCTAAAATTTGAACCAAAATTCTGCATAAAGTTTTTCTTGTTACGTAGTATTATTATGTTACCTGCTAAGTTATTACCATGTTATTACATGGTTATTGATGTTCTGTAAGATAAAGTGTGACCAAATTTTACAGCATAACATTGATTTATGCAGTTTTGATTCAGGTAAACTATTAATTAATATTTTAAATTACTTTATAGAGTTTATTTTTGTCTAAAACGTATTGAAAGGCTTTTTAATCTCCTTCTGTCTTGCTGATGTTGATGTTCCCCATTTCCAACAGCTTGATCAAAGCATTACCAAATATGCAAATGACTTTTCGGACAGCCAATAATGACTGTCCTTGCTAAAGAGTTGGTAACGATGTTTCTAAGTTTGACTCTTGTTGTGCGTTTGTGTTTCAGGCTAACACAGAGAAGCCCAATCTGAACCGATCAGAGCAGTTGGGACGGGGGGCTCTTTTGTCCGATATTTGCAAAGGCGCTAGGCTAAAGAAAGCCGTTACAAATGACCGCAGCGGACCTCTTTTGGACAGCAGTAAGTCAGCACCAACATGGTTACAATGTAGATTGTTTTGACTGATTGAGAAAAATCTTCACTGTTAAGAGTTTAACGTCTACAAGGAAGGGAAAGTCAGACTGATTATTCTAAAGTTGTTTGCTTGTTACTTTTTCCACAACCAGTTAATCACTTTATCCCACTGTCACCAATGTGTGATATAAATATTATTAATACCAGTTTGACTCATTTATTCCCTGTCCAATACTACATTTAGGTTGATGTATTATAACACATCGTCACTTTCAGCAGTGCTCAATTCTCTCTTTTGTCTCCTCCTCATAGACTTAGCTTGGTCGCTACGTCACCTAAAATCTGCATGACTTTAACTTCACCCTCAGTTTATTTATTGGATCATTTGCCTTGTTTTAATTCAGTCCTTTATTCACACAATTAAGCCTATTTTTTTATACCCTATTGAACAGAGGTGGGTAGAGTACACAAAAACTGTACTCAAGTAAGAGTAGCACTACTTCATCATCATGTCTTTACTCAAGTAAAAGTAAAAAGTAGTCGTCCAAGAAATGATTAAATTAAGATTAAAAAAGTATTTTGTAAACTAACCTAGTAAAGCGAAACTAATCTACTTATTTCTCATGATCATAATAATGTATTAAATATTTTACAAAATGACTTAACATTATTAAATACAATATAAATTTATATGCAATTTCTGATGTTGAAAATAAAGAGATAAAAAATAAAGTTAACATAAAGTAATTAGATAATGAAAAATTTAAATAGAAGAAACACTCTTCAATATACATTTTTTGGAGTTTTATAAATTACACAGTAGTTACAGGAAGAATAACAGTAAACTGTATTTCAAACACTCATAGATGATAAAAAAAATATTTAGAAAAATAAGCCCTGATTATTAAAAAAGAAAAATGTGTCTTTCTCTGATGCAAATTTGTTCAAAACCAGCTTGTTTTTATTAAGTGAAGGTAATCCTAACGGGTCGAATAGCCAGAAAGTTTACTTCACTAAGAGTAGTGATCTTACACAAGTAAAAGCAAAAAGTACAACACTGTAAAATCACTCCTAAAAGTACATTGATTTAAAGTTACTCAAATGATGTAACTGAATAAATATAACCTGTACTTATCCTCCTCTGGTTCAAAATTATTTGGATTTTTACTTGCATGTGAATGTTTTGGAGCCTTACTGCCAGAATCCCAACTTGAATCTGAAAGGAAATCAATGGAGGGAGTTAATGATTAGGGTGATGGCAAGGAGGCCTTCAAACAGCCCAGAGCTTAAAAGGAGGGTTTGGTTTACTGTAAAGCTAACAGAGGCTTTCACATGGATTATTTAAGAGCAAATAATCATCTTTAATAATTCATTTTCTTAGGTGTAAGGTAGAATAGTTTTTTTTTTTTTTTGGATGCTGTTTGCTGGGGGTGTGGAAAACAAATCGTTTTTTTGCGATATATCGTGATCTTTGGCTGCCCGATATAATATACATTTTTCAGTTTGTAGAATTGATTTTAAAAACAAAACATTTTACCTAAAAAAATGAAGGAAAATTGGCTACCTCTGCACCGCCACTGTGGTACATAGCACCATGGAGCCCTTTAGCTGTGCGGCACAGCACCATATCTGTAGTTGAGGCCTTCGCAGTGGAAGATGTGGACTGACCACAACCTGAAACAGAATGGATAAAATATATAATAACTAAATGGTCAATATCTACTGATAAACATATACAGCACTTGCTGTTTCATCTATAAATGTAATTTTGGTAGTTGGGAAAAATACCGTAATATATAGTGATATTGCAATATCGCGATAATATCATATCGTGACCCAAGTATTGTGACATGTATTATATCGCAACACCCAAGCCAATACACACCCCTACTGTTTGCATAGTTTTCTTATTTTTGTCGGATGCCTGTCTGGACATAAGGGTTGTAACACATACTCATTAGACATCTACACTAAAGTTCTCAAGGCTAAAATCTCCACCTGGAAACCTTTTCTGCACGTCTTCGTCTGTAAAGGCCACCATTGCCCAAAAATTAAAACAAAAAGAAAATTTGGTAAAAAAAGAAATACTGTAAATGCGAAGAAGAATTTGCTCCTCCTCTTAATTCTTTATATTCAGTGTGAACAGCGATGAGGAGGGGAGCCTAGTCCATGACTTTAATGCCAAACACTTTAAAATTCCTTGAATAAGATACTTGGAATAGGATTATGTTGCTGCTTGTTGCTTGAGGTATAAATTAGTTGTTTTGTAGAGCTGTTAACTATTCTGTCGATTTTTTTCCCGATAAATCGATCAATACTCGGATAGCAAAAGGTTTCTTAAATTAGACTTTTTATGAAATTAAACTAGGTGAAACTGAAACATTTCCCCTTGAGGAGTTCTGGATAGAGCATATTGACAGAAGAAAAATATTTGTTTTTATCTTAAAAGCAAAGTTTTTACATATTTTTTTCCAATTTGGCTTGATTGCTTCTCAAGGTGGGTTGATCTGTCTGCTAAAGGCATGTTTTAACGTCTCTATACTCCATTTAACGACTCATCCTTTACTAAATTAGTTGGCAATTATTTAAATAATGGAATAATCACGATTAATCTGAATAATTGTTTCAGCCCTAGTGTTTTGCACAAATTTGTTCTTCGCCATCGGAGGAGAGTTATTTTTTCGTCTTGGAAAAGATGCTCATTCTTATTCATTGAAAGTACATTTTAAAAAATTATATACTAGCAACTCACTTTGGTTGCATCCCACATCCTATATTATGTGTTATTTTTGTGTTTTTGCTCAGTTGGCAGTAAATGGTGCTTTTCATGTATATTAAGAATAGAAAATAGGATGCTTGGTCTATATTATCTTATTTTATGATCAAATTTTTTTTTTATAGAGATATAATATGAAAATAACCTCTAAAATGTAAAATTTACTTTAATTTCCTTTAGTTTACTTTCCTTTGTCCCTTTGTTCCTTTTATAGGAATATAAAGAAAATATTTCAACATTTTTCAAATTTAAACATAATGGAAAACATTATTTTAATAAATAAATAAATAAATCCTTTAATAGACAGCTTCAATTTACTTATTTAGAAAAAAACAAACACCTGATAAGGCCTACGATTAGGTACCAGGAATAACTGCTACCATTGCCAGAATCTAGTGGACATTTTCTAGCCTGTGTGTCCAGGTAGAAACAGATGTTACCATCAGTGCTTACAGTAGTTTTTCTTTTTTCTCAGAACCAAAAGGAGGTGGTGGAGGAGGAGGAGGTGGTGGAGGAGGAGGAGGAGGAGGAGGAGGAGGAGGTGGTGGTGGTGGTGGAGGATTTGGCGGCGGGTCTCCTGCTGGTTTAGGGGGCCTGTTTGCAGGAGGGATGCCCAAACTGAGGTCTGCAGCAAACAGAGACAACGGTAAGGATAAAGATAGAAAAAACATTAAGGATTAGAGGGAAAGGTCATCAAAGGCTCTAAAGATAAAAAAATGTTTTCCGTCTTAGAGTCTGGACCCAGTCGAGGACCTCTTCTCCCTCCAGGAGGCCGTTCTGGTGGACCCAGCCCTTTCGGTGGCGGCGGCAGTCCGTCTGGACCCCCCAAACTGCCAGGTGCTCCTCCTGTTCCTCGTGGCGGGGCCCCTGATCTCCCTAAAGGCCGTCCAAGTTTCTCATCCAGACAAGACACTCCAGGTGGACCCCCTCCCCCGGTACCCAGCACACCCAGACCACCCCAGAGCCACTCGTCTCGTGGGGGCCCCCCTCCACCATCTCTACCTGGAGGACCAAGGCCCAGTCATGGCAGCGCACCGTCGCCACCCAGCGTACCTCCAGCGAGACACGCAGCCTTTCCTCCCCCACCAGGGGGCTCCTCTGGGCCTCGGTCGAACTTCTCCGCGCCTCCTCCCCCGCCTTCAAACAGCAGCCGACCTCCATTACCTCCAGCTCCAGGAGGGAGGCCCCCGCTTCCTGACGACCGACCTCCTCCACCACCAGCTCCTGGGGGTAATCGACCGTCGATGCCCCGCGACATGCCCCCTCCGCCCCCATCTGTCAACTCCAAACCCTCTTCCTCGCCTTCCTCATCCGGTCGCTCCTCATCCGGAGGGGGGGTGCCCCCTCTGCTACCGGGACGGCCGGGCCCTCCTCCTATCCCACCCAGCCAGGGAGGAGGGGATGATCAGAACACACCTCGACTGCCTCAGAGGAACAGCTCGCTCAACAGGTAAAGCTGGAAAAAACGAAAATGTTTAAAATATCGTAGATTTACATCAGATGGACTCAGAGCATCTGACGCTGCTCAATTTTTGTTCCAAAAGTTGAACGAAAACAGCAACTTTCTGCAGGCATTCCTTCAGCAAACATGTATTTTGTGTTTTCCACTTATTGACTCATGTCTCTGCCCCCTTTAAAAGCTGAACGTCAGTAAATTCTGCCATCAGGTTTTAAAAAGTCCAAACAAAGAGCAACACAACACACCTCCTCAGAGTCAGTATTTTATAAACAATAATGAAAAGCTTCACTCAGCCTGCGTATAAAGTAGTTCTCCTCTGAGTCATTAAGGCTACGTTCACATTGCAGGTATTAATGCTCAATTCCAATTTTTTTAGTCAGATCCAATTTTTATTTTTTGTTTGTTTTTATTGTGTGTCTGTTTGCATGAGTCTCAAATTGTGTCCCTGAAATGACCCGCATGCGCAGAAAAACAAGAATAGGTCACTTTAAACGACGATCGGAGCAGAGCTTACCCGCATGGGCATAATACCAATAAACAGTTGAGTCAGATGTCGGCGTCTATGGATGGATTTAAAGCTGTTAAGCAGTGGAAGCAGCAGAGTGGAGAGTGAGGACTGGAGAGCTAAGCTATTAATTACGGCTTTCTGTGGGTAGTCGTGTCATAGTGAACTGACCTGTTATGACCCCTCAAGTTTCCTTTGTATTGTTGTATTCTCTCAAATACTTATTAATTCCAACGTTTCATTGCCCCAAAGTTGTACGCCTCCGTCTACACCAGCGGTCACAGATTAGCTGCACCTGCTGGCTAAAATGGACCCAACCGGATTTAAAACATTTATAAATTAGCTGTACGATGACGGTGTCTAATTTAACTTGCACGGCTTCTCCTGTTTGTACGGTAAAGCCCTCCGGAGCGTCCGGCACCAGGCTGCATGTGATCCAAATTAGCCAATGAGCTGCTGTCAGTCTGGGTTGCTGCTGCTGCTACTTTTAGACACAGCAGGCAAACCTGTGGCAAGCTGGGCGATGGGAAAGAAGGAGAAGATGATGAGAAAAAGAGAGCAGAGAAAGTGTGGACTGCTGGAAGAACTGTGGTGAACTGGTGACAGAAAAGTGAAATGGTGCTCAAAGATGACCCTGCACATTTAGAGGATGTTTGGCTCAACCTGCTGCTGTGAAGCAGGATTCTCCACCATGAACAGAATCAAAAATAAATATTGATCCAGGCTCAGAATGAGCTCCTTGATATGTGCTTTAGAATGGCTTTGTCTCCATTCAAACCAGGTTTAAAGCCTTGCAGGGCAGCATAAAGCCCACTGCTAACATTAAGACAGAAAAAAGAAAAAACAAACAAACGGTCAGTTCAGGTGTTTTATAAGATATGTTAATCAGGAAATTGTCTATATACCAAACTGTGTTTTGAAGTAGAGAACAAAAATCGTTCACTTTAGATTTTAAAATGGAAAAAATTTCTACTTTTTTAATAGTATTTATTTAAAAAGTCAACGTATAACGTGAATGCATAAAAATCTCATTTTATTTCAGTGTTAAATTCTGTTTAAAGTGAATGAATGAATGAATGAATGAATGAATGAATATTTTTGAATATTTATTTATTTCAGACAATAATATTAGTAACAAAAAATAAAAAATAAATAAATAAAATTAACAAATAATATAAATGAATCAAAAGAACAAATAATAATAAATAGAACAATTCCAATTTCAGAAATGATCAAATAATAACAATAATTAAATCAATTTCAGAAATACTAACAAATGTGTATCACATAAAAAATGATGGTAAATATTAATTTAAATTTCTTGTTCCGATTCGATTTAAATAATTTGAACATAAATAGAAATGCACTAAACAATGTTTACCCTTAACAAGCATTATATTTACCCTAATGTCTGTCATTGATTATTTCTTACTGTAAATTGTCTGAAAAGGGGTATGAAGAAGTAGAACTTATCTATCATACCCCTTCTCCCTCTAGTTGCACTGAAAGCAACCTAAAAGTACCTTCCTGTTTAACATCTATGTTTTGTTGTTATTTTTAATTTTTTTATTATCTTTTTTTATTTTTATATATTTTTTTTTTTCACACCCACATACATAACTATACATACCCATTTACATACCAATATTTACATCTTCACACATATGCACACACACATGCCTACCTACACACACATCTGGCCTAAATCCACATTCACACCCACGTTCCACAGCACTCTGAGTACTGAGATCCATCCTCTTCAACAACTGCAGCGTCAGGCCGCAGGAGCAGAGGACCAGGAGCAGAGGAGAGGGCCCAGCACCCCCATGCTGGGCCCTCTCCTCTTCAAGTAATGGATTATGATTAAAATGTATCTAGACCTTTACTGGTTGATGATTTTCTTTATTCGGACCCCACTGATCCTTAATTGGTTACCCCTGCTCTACACTGTCCTTCATGCTTTTTTCCTTTATTATTTTTTTTTGCCCGCACTCTGGCAGCATCATCATACTAATTTTGGAAAGGGTCCCTTGGCTGTTCTGACCGCAGTCAGATTCCCAGAAGATTTTACCTGTATTGGATTTAAAACCACAAACAGTTCGGCCCAGATCAGATTGGAAAAAATCAGACTTAATGGGAATTGGGCTGTTCACACAGTCATGGAGGAATCTCACCTAAGTCATTTTAGGGCAAAAAAAATCTGCTCTGTAGTGTGAACGTAGCCAATCTCTTTGGTGCACACGTCTTAAATTGGGATTAGGATAATCTAGTTTTGATGTTTGTTAACTGATATAGAATTACCCATGTTTGAATCTGTTTGGAAATAAATCTGTTCCCGTAATACTGAAAGTAAGAAAAGGAATTTTTCAGAAAATGTATTTCAAAAAAGTAACACTGAAAAACTTCTCAATTCAAAAAAAGGTTTTAAGAATAATCATCAACTGGTATTCGTATCACTTCAACAATATATGCTGGTTCTTTCTGTCAATTTGCGTCAACTGAAGCTCCGTCCTTTGATACTTGCTTCAGAAAACTTTTAGATTAGCTGAACTTAACTTAGTGCTATTGCTTCCAAAGTAAAAGCTCTTCAAACCAATTCAATAAGGTACCTTTTTTGTAATTTGATGTCGTCTCCCTTTAAAAAGAGGTTATTCATATTAGTTAAACAAGTTCAACCATTATTTTTTACAGTTAAGTTTTTTTGTTTTTTTTTTATTATTCAGATTTTATTTTTTCAAACCTATCTCTAGATTTCATTTTCAGTCATAATTTTTTCAGGTTATGTTGATTTTTTTCAGGAGGTGGAGACTGAGTTTTATGAACCTCTTTTTCCTCAATCCTGTTTTATAGATTTCCCCCTATCTACTTCTGCATTCTTTCACCAATAGAAAAGCTACTGCTAACTTATTTCTACTGACCTGCAAACAGAGGCATACAAAGCAGAACAATTTTTGAAATACATCTATAACATTTAGAAAATAAAAGATGAAAAAACACAGTAAGCTGTAAAAATATTTGTTTGCATACTCTAAATTAAACATACTCATACTTCTAAATTACTCTCAAAACCTTTTTTCCACGGACAATTTCATTTATCAAATAGATTTTCTTTAAATTTCTTTTTACAAAAAGAAGATCTTTGCTTTAAATAAAAGTGGGACAAATTTCTCTACATACATCACTCTGCATTGAAGCATTTATTGACCCCCCTCCCCAACTTTGTTACAAATAAGTGGGTATTAATAAATTGTTTTTTGTTGAAACTACTTGAACGAACTAAAAATCATAAATTTGAGCTAATTTTTTTGTTTTGGTTGAAGGGTGGATGTTCCAATGGGTTAAGAAAAGACTATAATTCTTCAAATCCAATTAACTTAATTAATAAATTGTGAAGTTATTTAAAGGGCCGTACTCTTAGAATGAGAAAACCTGTAATTGCTTAAAAAAAAAAAAAAAAAGCTTAACAGCTGAAATATCTGATTAAGTGGTTAGAGGTGAGGTTGGACACACATTTCTACATTGAGCTTAATTTTGCTGGTTTATTAAGATTTTGTTCCTTTTAGACAAAAGCTAGGAAGATTTTCCATAAATGAAAAAACGTATTACTTATAAACCATATTTTGATGCATCATGGAAGTAAAGAATAAAATTCATGTATTTTCTCCAGCCATGCTCCGGCTCCCCCTCCTGGCCGATCAGGACCCCTCCCTCCTCCTCCAAATGAGAGACCGCCATCTGTTGGAAGGAACCAGCCCTCTCCACGCTCAGGTAACCAACCAGCCTTTGCTGATTGCTGATTACTCAAACAGAGGACTACTTCTTTTCAAAGAATGAATAAAATATGTTTAAAAGCTGAGTTCTTAATATTACTTTGAATGAAAGTTTTTCAATGATGTTCCTTCTGCCTCCAAAGGTCCTCTTCCTCCTCCGCCTCCTTCAGGTCGCAACATGGGCGGAGGCAGCATCAGGTCATCGCCTGCACCGCCTCCTGTCGGTCGGCCAGGGCCGGAGCCTCCTCGTGGAGGGCATGGGGGGCGACCTCTCCCGCCACCAGACAGACCCGGGCCTGGAGGGGCTCTTCCACCTCCACCACCTATAGGAAATGGATTCCAGAACTCTCACCACAACCAAATGCAAGGTCTGTAGGTCCATCAATGTGCTAAATGAGTTTGGAAGACAAATTGATAAAGGACATAAGAAAGATTGATAGTTTGAATAGGGTTGAGGACCCGATAACTATTGAGAGCCATTTCATTTAAAATAAAATAAATACTGCTTTTGATGAATTGTAAATAAATATTTTATTAAATAAATAAACATCCCCTTGAAAAAAAAAATTTGAAATATTTTTTCTTATTTTATTTTATTATTTTTGAAGATTTTTCAGTTATTCAAAGATTTATTAATTACTTAATTAATCTATTTATTTATTTTATTTTTTCACAATGTAGTGTTGTTTTGTGATGCTTTTATTTTGTAAAGATAGTTTACGCATTCAGTAACTTTTCTTTTTTAACTCTGTTTTTGGTTTCAACCTCCTTTAATTTCATGTTCTTATGTTCAAATAAAAGAGTGGAGTGTACAACAAACCCAAAGCCATGTGTAGGAGTGAAACAGGACTAAAAACTGAAAATCAAGCCTATGCAGCTTTCTAAGGTGGTTGTACAAAATATTGAGCCATAGGTGCCAAATCCACTGCACTACTACTTTTTTCAGATTCTTTGAATAAATAACACATCCTAAACATCTACTTCCCAATTCAAAGTTAGTTTGTGTTATTTCACATAAAATGCCCGTAAAACTCACATGGTGTTGTGGTTGAACCGAGACAACATAGGAACAGAACAGGGTAAACAGAGCAGTGTTCAGGGTGTGAATACTTCTGTATGGTCCTGTAAAGTGATCCAAGTCTGAGGACGAGACATAGGAGGTACCAGCTCAGTCCTGTAGGCAGTTTTTTCAGGCTTGTACCCATGCTCCTCATTGTTGGTTTTACTGCATGCTTCAGTTAAGGCTGAAATACCCTGACCTCTGTTTCAATTGTTTTTATTCTGTCAACCATAGTGGAAGGTTTATTTAGGAAGAAAAAATGCCAACAGACCATAAGAGTCCTGCCTAAACCAGCAGACAGTTCTAGATCACATTCATAGCTGCTTTATACACTGGAAAAATGATCTAGAAATAAGTAAACATTTCTTAAATTAATTGTATTTACCCGTAATTTCATAGTTTGCCAATGGAATGAGTATTTTTACTCTAAAAATAAGACAATTAGGTCATTTCCACTTGAAATAAGACAATGCAATTGTTGTTTCTTATTTTAAGTGTAAATTGTCTTGTTTCACTGGCAAGATTTCTCCTTTACATCCTTAATCCAAGAACAAATGCACTTACCGGTATTTTAGGGAAAAATGACTTATCTAGATTAGATTTTTTTTCCAGCATACCAACTAGATTGGCTCCATTCATTTCATGCTACATACAACTATCTTGTTTTATTGATGAATTTCTCTTTAAACCTTTGTTTTCATTCCTCCAACAGATGAGTTTGAGTACAGATTCACTTTTCATCCAGTGTCGGACTTTCCTCCGCCCGATCCCTATGTACCCTTCCAGAAGATTTACCCCAGCAAGATTTCCAAGAATGAGAGCAAAGGTGACTCACTTGTTCTTTTTCCTTCCTCACTAACCCTCTTTCATGTCCACCCATTGTTAATACATGTTAATTTGGAGCTGGCCCTGCTATTTGAGTGTTTTTGCTAGCTAGCTAGGCTGGGCTCATAGTCTCCACTCTTGTTCAACCCAAAGATGCTCTAGATCAAGGGATAACCATTAAAAATCAGCAGGGTCCGAATAAAGAAAACCGACACATACACATCCCTCTATTCAATTCAATTTTAATTTAGTTTATTGATAAAGCACCAATTTGCTTCACATCATGTCTACCCAGTTTACAGAGACAATTCAATCAGATTGTACAAGCAGTCCGGGAAGGTTTTACCTAAGGAAAGCCAGCTGATTGCATCGAGTCATTATCTTTGCTGCACACGCTACTCTGAGATGAGCACCGAGCATGCATGCAGCGACAGGGGTGAAAAAATGCTGTTTAACAGGAAGAAACCTCCTGCAGAACCTGGATCAGTGTGAGCGACCTTCTGCTGGGGTCCACTGGAGGTTCAAGGAGAGAAAAGCAGGGATTCAAAAGGAGCATAGAAGCAATGAGCTTTAAAAACGATATTTATTCGGAAAGGTAACAGTAAACTAGCTCCACGGATGACTCTAACTAGGACAGGTACGGTTAAACAGATGAGCTCTGAGCCAGTTTTCATGTCAAAGGGATAAAGTATAGCACATGCAGTTAGTCACAGTAAACACTAGAGCAATGTCCAGGAAAGAAGTAGGACTAAGCAGCAAAAAACAAGCCTGACAATCATTTGTAATTGAAAGTGGTAGCTGGTCGCAGCAGCCCAGCTTATAGTTCCCTCAAAGATGTTGTCAAAGCCAATCAGGAATAGGCCAGATAATAAAACTACTATGACGTGTAAAAAGCAGAAGGGACATAAACCGAGGGTTTGAACTAACAAATACTGCAGAATGGGAGGAAAGGGGTCTGTATGTCCTCCAGCAGTCTAAGGCTCTAGCAGCATAACTATAGCGATAGCTGAGGGTAACCTGAAGCTCTATAGCATAAGCTTTATCAAAAAAGAAAGTTTAAAATCTACATTTTACTAAAAAAAAAAAAATTGAAGAATTTGATTAATTTCAGTATGGCACATTACGTCTTCATGAGGTTTGTTTTTTTTTATTAACATTTTACCAAGTAAAGACTGCTCCAAGGATGTTGGACCCTTCTTCTGCTCCATACAGCTTTATAAGCTAAACTCAGGAACTCATAGAGTTTAGAGGCCTTTGTTACTTCTGCACCATGGGTGTGTCAACATGTGCTCTTCCCAAAACTGATTTAAAATACCTCACCACTTCATGCTGGTTTCAGTTAAATATTAATTGTATAGGGTTGGTCCAGTAAATCTATTAGTTAGGGATGTACGATATTGGGATTTTGGCCGATATCCGATATGCCGATATTTTAAAACTCATGTAGCCGATAACCGATATCGATACCAATGTTAAAGCTGGACAAAAATAAGTAGTCATTGAAAATAGCAGTTTTGTTATCCATTTCTGACAATTTGAAAAATAATATACTCAAATATATTTTCATATGCTGATATCAAATTGATTTTTAAAAACGCGGTATCGATCTATTTTACCTTCAAAATCTCGTGAAATTTCATCGTTCTGTTACAAACTCTCGCAATATTTTGCAAATTCTTGTAAGATTTTGTTAGTAAAATAGATCGATACCGCGTCAATATATCAACATATAAAAATATGGCAAAATTTCGTGAATTTTCGATGGATTTCGTAGCATAACGATGACATATAGCAATATTTCATTAGTAAAACAGATTGATATGGTGTTTTTAAATGGCAATATATCAGCATATGAAGATATTGTGATATTTTAATGTATCAATATTTTTTCCCTCGTCTTTAGAAGTTTTTAAGTCTGTAAAAAAATTAGTTTTTGAGGAAGAAGAAGAAGTAGTTTTTTTTTTTTTTTTTTTTTAGACTTTAGAAACTCAGAAGCTGATCAAATATCGGGTTAAATATCGTTGGGTTGGCCGATGTCCGATATTCAGTTTTAAGGCCGATACAGGCCGATACCGATAGGGGGCCGATTATGTCGTGCATCCCTACTATTAGTGTTTGATTTTATTTTTGGCTCCCACTAAGGAGATTTCTGTTTTTCTATTCAATAATCCTGAACAAATGGTAGAAAAATGTTTGGAAATTATTTATTTGATCACAAAAACCTGGCATTTTAACAAGGATGCGTAGACTTCTATGTCCAATGTACCTAAGATTGAAAATAATGAGAGAGAAAAAATGTATGAATTTCTTTTTTGTGTAGCAGCGTGATGAGGAGAACAAACATATTCATTGTAAACTTCAAGCAAGCACTAATTTCTTTTTTTCTGTTTTTCCAGGTCCTGGTAAAAAGGAGCGAGGAGCTCCTCCCCTTCCTCCAATACCCAGGTGAAGAAAAGATGGCCTCCATCACAACACTTGGTCCTACCACCTCTTCTTTTCTTCCTATTTCTCAGTTACGCTCATTGCTCTTTGACCGCATGCATGTCGATCATGTGAGAATCGCAAAAGAGGGGAAAAAAGGACCTTCAGTCTTGTGGAGTTTACATCATGTGGCTCTGCAGCAGGGAACTGGGGATCTGCAAGGAGCCAAAACTGTTTATATTGTGGTACAACTGTGTTCTGGAGAAAATGCTTTCTTTATTTTTAAAGTTTACAACCATGCTATTTCTGGAGGATGTGTTTGGTGTCAAAATGCTCAAAATCAGATCCATCTTATCTGTTTTTTTGTTTTCTTAATCAAATAAAATTTAGCCCATTTCCTTTTTTTCAGGCAATACAACAACTGATTTGTATATTTTTATAGTTTTATAAAAAAGCCAAGCCTTTTGAGAAGAACAAAGATACTGATCTTTGTGCTCTCATAAAGGGAATTACCTTGTTTATATCAAAATTTTCATTTTGGTTGAAACAGTAGAATTAAATGCTGTATAACTGTCTGAACATTTCAGATAAACAATCAAGGTGGCTTAGATACAGCAACAGTACAAAAGATGGACATTAAGCTGTCTCTCCCTTTCAGAAGATGCATGCTTTCTATGCCAAAGCCATGTGTGCCTTCACAGCATGAATGTAGACTTTCCTTTTTTTTACCAACCAGTTTTTCTCTGCTGGAACCTCTTAGCGGTACGTTTTAATTGATTATGCAAGGATGTTCAGCTCGATGTGCTTTAAAGGACATTTCCGTGGGGTTATTGCAGCATCCATGTGCAGTCACGCTAAATATTGTGTTTCTGTTTTTTTTTTAAGTTCTCTTGTTGCACAGCAAAGAGTCAGTGGATGTATCTATGATTTAACCAGCTGATACTGGATTATGGGATAAGTTATGATTGCAGTATTAGGTTTGCTTTTATGTTCTGCTTTGTTTTTTGTTAAATATTTCTGTAAGGCAATCGTACAATAGTAAAACTATTTACTTTAAAAAGGCTTTAAAATGCTTTACTTAAAAATACTTTGAGTTAAAAGGAGGGCAGGGGGATTTTATTGAGTTATGCATCAGTTTCCTAAGCAATATGACTTTTGGAAACGGATAGGACACGGTGAACTGAGGTGTCTACAAGATAAACCAGATTTTATCACATTAACCATATTATTCATTTACATCACTGTGCAATAAAAAGGACATTAAATGTATACCAAAGTGTGGAATTTTGTTTAACCTATTTTAGAAGGATTGTTTATAAAATATTACTGGCAACTGGAGAAATGAAGGTTCCAATTGTGTATCTGTATGTAATTACTTCTGATTATTGATAATGAGTTTAAACACCAACCTCTAGAAACGTACTGGCAGATTGAGGTCTTAAGCATACAGCTATGAATTGCACTAGCAAAATGGAAAGAAATCAGAAATTACCTTAGAGAAATGGTCTGTAGACCCTATTGGAAACATATATTCCTGTGGAGATGGTTCTGGGTTATTTCAAAGCTGAATTGTGAGACTTACATGATATCCTTTGATTGGATTAGACATAAGTAGATCATTTTACCATAAATCCCACGCCATGTCTGGTAGAAACCGAACAACACATATTTTACCAGCTGTTTAGCATAAGGAGGTAAGCGTAATGATGTGGGCTTGTTTTTGTGCGACAAAAAACAAACTTCCCTGGTTAAAAAAAGGAGTTCCAGACTCCAACATGTTGGCTAAAACTGGGACATCTGGGACGTAAGAAGAAAAAAAGAAACGTCCTGATAAATAAATTGACCAAGTTTTTTTATCCACAAGTTTATGCAATTTAAAGTTAATGTATATTTTATTTTTTCGTGTCATAAAAATGTTACAATAAAAATTACATTGAAAATGTAAATGATACTCTTCGGTGCATCCTGATAGCACTTTTTAAGCTTGCATAAAAATTTTTTGGGGGGGGATATCAATGTCCCCAAATTTCCGGTGGCACCCCTGCGTCAACTTAATAAAAGATGTGAGACTTTAAAAGATTTATTCTTCTGCTGTCATTAAATAAATTCATGTTAAATGGGGCAATATCTCTTATAAGAATGAAAGTAAAATTATTACCTCTATTATTAAAGTTGTAGAGAGGGTTACAGTCTTTAGTTTCTTATTTATAGAATTAATTTGTGTACAAGTACACAAATTCAGTTCTACAAGCTGCACATCAAAAACCTCTTACATTCTCTGTTTTGCTCCAAATGGTCCAGAACTATTGTTGCAAAACTATGTGTGCATTGTAACTTTGGTGTTTTTGTAATTGTAGATTTTTTTCATAAACTGTCACAATTACAAATATCGCAGGGATAACCGACAGAAGGCAACATGGCAGTAGGCCATTTGCTTTAGATAAACTGTAGCAATACTGTGTGGAAGACATTTTTGATGTGCAACTCACAGAACACGGTTTGTGTACTTGTCTTGTATGCATCAACTTGAGGAGGTGTACGTTTTTCTTGCAATGTGACAGATTTAAAAAAAATCTAGTTAAAAAACACCTAAGTTAAAATTCCCCAATTGTTTTGCAACAAAAATTCTGAATCATTTGGAGCAAAACTGAGAATGTGAGATGTTTTTGATGTGCAACTTGTAGAACAGAATTTGTCTACTTGCACTTTAAATTTGAACAACCTGTAAAAAAAATGTGTCTTCGTGAATTTTTTAAATTTATTTTACAAATACAAAACTTAAACTGTAACTCTCTCTACATCTTTAAATTAACACTTACAATGCACAAATAGTTTTGAAACACAATAAACTTCATAGAATATGGGGTCTGTTCCCACAGCTGGACATTGGATCTGTCCAATCCCTGATGGTTTCAGAGGCGTCTGATTGCTTAAAAAGCCTGCATTGTTGAATTATTCACACATATTGATGAAACCGATTAATGGAAAGTTAAAAACATGATTTGAATTTCTCCAGAATGAATAATATCTGCACAATAACAGTGCTCCTCGGTAAAGCAACTAGAAACGCCCCCTAGACCGCGTTCCTCGCCCTGATTGGCTTAAGCCTCCGTCAGTCTGCTGTTTGGGCGTGTCTACTAGCTGCAGCTGTCAGATAGGGACAGACCTCCAACCCTTACAGCAGAAAAACAACAGCTTAGGAAACAAAAAGGACCTGGGATGCTCCGCTGTGTACAGTAGCACCGTGCTGGTGAAACAGAGGTATGGAAAATTATCGCTCTATAAATCATTTTAAATGGCCTAAACCTGAGTAGGGGTTCGGTTAACTGCGCCTTGAGATGTGATTTTAGCATGCAGGTATGGTAGAGCTAACGGTCAGCTGCCCCAACAGAGCCTCAGGTCGCTTTGTCCGCCCCTTCATGCCTCACTGCGGTGGGCTTAGTTTTTATACCGTTATTTTAGCTCCAGATGAGCTGGAATCCGATGAAAGAAACCGTCTCATAACCCGCTTGGAGGTATTCAGAGCCGTTACAAGAATATCAGCGGACAAACACCACTCTGTTCCCCCCAAATCCATCCCATTAGTAATGGGGACAAGAAGTCTTTGCAATGTACCGATTCTCCACAGTTAGTTCACTAAAATGATTCGTTCAAGGGATATTCAGTTCCCACGGCTGTATTGTCTGCTTCGTTACAGTTTAAACAGACAATAAGGATGTTTTGTAACATTTATGGGTGAAATACACTGGATGAGTTAACATGCGAATAAGAGCAGCAAAGCAGACTATCTGAAAACAGAAATTTACATCAGATGCTGCAAAGTGCTTTCTACAGTATGACGGAGTATTAGGGCAAGGCTAGAGATTTTATTTTGTTTTATTTTGCAAATAAAGTTGTAACATTACAGGAATAACGTCGTAACATTACGAGAATACATTTGTAATTTACAAGAGTAAAGTTTTAATATTACGAGAATAACGTCATAACATTACAAGAATAAAATCGTATTATTACGAGAATAAAATCGTAATATTACCAGAATAAAGTTTAATATTATGAGAATAACGTCATAACATTATGAGAATAAAGTTGTAACATTACGAGATTAAAGTTGTAACATCATGAGAATAAAGTTGTAACATTATGAGAATTAAATCGTAACATTACGAGAATAAAGTCGTAACATTATGAGAATAACCTTGTAACGTTACGAGAATAAAGTTTTAACATTACGAAAATAAAGTCGTAACATTATGAGAATAACGTTGTAACGTTACGAGAATAAAGTTTTAACATTACGAAAATAAAGTCGTAACATTATGGGAATAAAGTCGTAACATTACGAGAATAAAGTCGTAATATTAAGAAAATAAAGTTGTAATATTACGAGAGTAAAGTTGTAATATTACGATAATAAAGTCATAACATCACGAGAATAAAGTTGTAATGTTACGAGAATAATTTGACATACTGCCCACATTTAACATACTAGTGTGCTAAAAGATTTATTTGTCAAATCAAAGCCAAAGTATAACTTCACATGATGCTTAACATTCCACATTTTAGGGAACAAAGCGCTTTTTGTTAGAGTTGTCATAAAATACTACTTATTTCTCATAATTTTAGGACTTTATTCTCATAATGTTACAACCTTATTCTCATAATTTTATCACTATTCTCGGTGCAACTTTGTTCTTGTAATTTTACGACTTCTGAGAGATGATTGCAGAAGTAAACATGTAGAGTGAGTGTTGCAGAATATATACAATCCACCAGTGATCTACCAGTAAAACAAACATCAGATATCTTCTCAGCATTTTGGCTATGAATTAGTGGGGTCTGCAGTTCTACAGTAGTTTTCTAATTGGTTGTCTGGAGTTTAAATGAACTGGATAAGAATAATTTGGGCAGGGTCTTGCTTTATTTAACAAAACTGTGTTTTAGAAGGTGCAATACATGTCACAATTTAAAGCACCAAAAAAAAATAAACTTTCTCAGGATATAGAATGCTGACTGGTGTAAAAATCGGTGTTAAATGACCAGAAAAAAAAGCGTTATTTGTTCGCCATTTCGCATGAGCTCTTAGAATAGCACTTCAATTAGATTTTCACAGTATTTTAGGCCTTCTCACTTATTAAGCATCTTTTTGTCTGTGACTTTTTAGCCAAACGCTTTGTGAAAGATTTAAGAGGGATACAATCTGATTCTCAAAATGAGTTTTGAATTAAAATGTACTAACACAAAAAAATTACTTCCAAACCTACAAATGTCATGCTACTGTTATCCCAGATCACACAGGTCCAATTTCCCCGCTGCTGTGAAGTGATTCAACAACCTTTACTGAACCGGGAGTGCTGTCGATCCACACTCACTGCCCGCACTAATCAGGTGTTTATTCATTAGTTTATGTCAATGTAAGCATGTTAGGTAATGATGGGGAGAGGGTGTGTGATTTAATTTAGCTGATCCGCTCAAATGATTTGTTTGTTATAAAAACAAACACACAAAAAAAACACAAATGTAAATACTTTAGAGGAAAAATAATGAATATGAGTGATTATTCTAGCCAACTATAAGACTCAGTTTTCTTCCAAACATCTTGTAACAGCTTTTACCAGGCTCTGGACCTATCTGCAGAAACCCTCTGAATCTCGTCCCATTGTCGCCATGGAGACTCCAAACAACTATGTGTTTATCCACGGGAAGAACATCTCCCACGGTCCCCTGGCCGGCGCTGCTGCAGCGCCCCACATGTCCATTGACAAGCTGTTTCCAGCCCTCTTGGAGTGCTTCGGCATCATCCTGTGTGGCTACATCGCTGGCCGGTAGGAGAGGCGCCTCACTGACCCATCAATGCATTTGGATTTAGTACATTAACCTTTTTTTTAATTCCCCCGCAGGGCAGACATGATCACAGAGAACCAGGCGAAAGGTTTGGGGAACTTTGTCTCTAAATTTGCTCTTCCGGCTCTGCTCTTTAAAAACATGGTGCTGCTGGACTTTGAAGACGTCATCTGGGCTTTTCTTTGGAGCGTTCTGGTTGCAAAGGTTAATGAACTCTGCAAACCATACTTCATTTGTGTTGTTTGTGATTATCAGGCCAGAATAGCTTAATCCTGATTTAATGCAGGTGGCGGTGTTTGTGCTGGTGTGTGTGCTGACGCTGATGGTGGCGGGTCCAGACAACAGGTACAGCAAGGCCGGACTGTATGCCATCTTCGCTACTCAGAGCAACGACTTCGCCTTGGGATACCCAATAGGTAAAAACTCACCTGGCGCTGGGATTTAAAAGGTTTGAGCTGAAATATTTAAAGTCTTTCTGTATCTTGTCCTCCAGTTGATGCTTTATATAGAAGCACATATCCAGAGTACCTCCAGTACATCTACCTAGTCGCCCCTGTTTCCCTCATGCTCCTCAATCCCATCGGCTTCGCTCTCTGCGAGGTGCAGAGGTGGAGGCAGGCCAGCCATCCACAGCGCAGCAGCCTCAGCATCCTGGGAGTTGTATTTTTACAGGTAAAGGTTTCAAGCTGAGGTGGGTGAGGAATTAAACGTTGGTGTATTTTGAAGATTCTCGCTGTCATCTCTGAAGGTGTTAAAGAATCCAATCGTGTTCATGGTGATGGTGGGAATCATTTCCCATTTCGCTTTGGGGGAAAGGATTCCTGCCGTGCTGTCGGAGTTTATAGACGGCCTGGCCAACTCTTTTGGAGGAGCGGCACTGTTTTATCTTGGCCTCACTATGGTGAGAAGGCACAGTTTACATTTTTTTCTTTTTTGTAAAAGACTAAATGTTACTGAATAATATGTGTGTCTGTGATGCAGGTGGGCCAGCTCAGAAAACTCACCAGAGACGCTGGAGTGGCTCTGATTCTTCTCATTACAGCCAAACTGTAAGTCAGGACTTATGTTAGCTTAAGGTCTAGTGATGCTCTGAGTGAGGTGCACCAATACATTGGCTCCATTTGGTTGACGAATGATCTGTAGTATGAAGGACTTTTCCTGCCAAAAACCAAGAGACACATTATCAGGATAGCAGGATTTTCACTTTTAATGCTTCGTTTCTTTTCTTTTCTCTGATCTAATTCTTTTTGTACAAATATTATCTCCTTGCGCAAAAGCAAATCTCTGCTCTAGTCTGACACAGAAATCCTGCATCCTTTGGTCTGACCCGCTCCGCTCCAGACCGCCTGTGCAAAGCAAAGCCTGCAGCCTCCGCTGTTCCTCCCATCCTGCTCCACTTCCTCGGAGCTCAAGGAGAGCATGCACGACTTTATTATTATTAAATTCATAAGAGCAAAACATGCGTAAATGAACGCTTAATTTAATATGACATATAAAAAAACAAACCATCAGCATCCAGCATATGTGCAGTTTCTGCCCAAATATTTTCTTTTTGTTGTGGATCTTTGTAACAGGGATAACTAGGATCATACAAAATTGCTTTTGTATGAACTATGTTTGTTCTCTATTTCCAAACTCAGCATCTTTTCATCCATGCCTGCAATAAGAGGTTTCTTCTGACTCGATTTGATGAAACTTTTAAGCCTCTCGGTATAAAAGAAATAATTTATTGGAGATGAGAAACCTGCTTCCTGGTATGTTGAAGAACCAATAGTTTGCATCCGATCTTTTAAATAAACGGTGTTAGTTTTTAGAAATACACTATATTGCCAAAAGTATTTGCTCACCCATCCAAATTATTGGAATCAGGTGTTCTAATCACTTCCATGGCCACAGGTGTATAAATTCAAGCACCTAGGCATGCAGACTGTTTTTACAAACATTTGTGAAAGAATGGGTCGCTCTCAGGAGCTCAGTGAATTCCAGCGTGGAACTGTGATAGGATGCCACCTGTGCAACAAATCCAGTCGTGAAATTTCCTCGCTCCTAAATATTCCACAGTCAACTGTCAGCTGTATTATAAGAAAATGGAAGTGTTTGGGAACGACAGCAACTCAGCCACGAAGTGGTAGGCCACGTAAACTGACGGAGCGGGGTCAGCGGATGCTGAAGCGCATAGTGCGAAGAGGTCGCCAACTTTCTGCAGAGTCAATCACTACAGACCTCCAAACTTCATGTGGCCTTCAGATTAGCTCAAGAACAGTGCGCAGAGAGCTTCATGGAATGGGTTTCCATGGTCGAGCAGCTGCATCCAAGCCATACATCACCAAGTGCAATGCAAAGCGTCGGATGCGGTGGTGTAAAGCACGCCGCCACTGGACTCTAGAGCAGTGGAGACGCGTTCTCTGGAGTGACGAATCGCGCTTCTCCATCTGGCAATCTGATGGACGGGTCTGGGTTTGGCGGTTGCCAGGAGAACGGTACTTGTCTGACTGCATTGTGCCAAGTGTAAAGTTTGGTGAAGGGGGGATTATGGTGTGGGGTTGTTTTTCAGGAGCTGGGCTTGGCCCCTTAGTTCCAAGGAAAGGAACTCTGAATGCTTCAGCATACCAAGACATTTTGGACAATTCCATGCTCCCAACTTTGTGGGAACAGTTTGGAGCTGGCCCCTTCCTCTTCCAACATGACTGTGCACCAGTGCACAAAGCAAGGTCCATAAAGACATGGATGACAGAGTCTGGTGTGGATGAACTTGACTGGCCTGCACAGAGTCCTGACCTCAACCCGATAGAACACCTTTGGGATGAATTAGAGCGGAGACTGAGAGCCAGGCCTTCTCGTCCAACATCAGTGTGCGACCTCGCAAATGCGCTTCTGGAAGAATGGTCAAAAATTCCCATAAACACACTCCTAAACCTTGTGGACAGCCTTCCCAGAAGAGTTGAAGCTGTTCTAGCTGCAAAGGGTGGACCGACGTCATATTGAACCCTATGGATTAGGAACGGGATGTCACTTAAGCTCATATGTGAGTCAAGGCAGGTGAGCAAATACTTTTGGCAATATAGTGTATATAAGAATTATGCTCTTATGTATGTGGACGGTGACGTGTGGAGGAGTAGCGGTGGATGTGGAACAGCTCATTGATTAACACGACAGACAAATACTGCGCATGACGTATGTAAGCAGAGCGGAGTGCTGACGGATTATGTGAAATCTTGGGGTGAGATGTGCTCCAAACCCGTTAGCTCTGCTTGTGGATTTGTTTTTTTGCTTTCCGTCACTGGTTCGATCAACGTCTAGCAACCTTTCCAGCCAATAGAACGACTGGTTTTTGTCCACTGAATTTCAATGTCACTGCTTAGTGATAATATGATATGCTTAATCAAATATATGAACTCGTAGAAGAAACTGAACAGTTTCAGTTCGGAGGGGACGACAGAAATCCCAATTCAGAGTAGGCTAATCAGGGTAGATGCTAATTCTGCCTCCAACAGAAAATTCTTTGACTTTTCATTGGAGATTTTGGTATCAAGCCTAGTTTTAGGTTTTAGATATTTTTCTTTCCTAATTGTGTTTTCAGCTTCTTGTTTTATTAGCTTTTATAGTGAAAAGCATTGAATTGAATATTGAATAAACAATTAAAGGTTTTATTTTGAGATGTTATTTTTCTTTAGTTAAAGGGAGATTTGCTTAAACTTGTGTCTCCTCACCGTATGTTCCCTTTTTCAGCTAAAATAAAAGCTAAAATGTTTGGGAACCTAAGACCAGGCTTTAAAGTGTATCAAGTTTAAGTATTTAATATTTCAGAGTGAAACTGATTGCTGGTCTTTGCTTGCCCCTTCCAGCCTGGTAATGCCACTGGTCTGCAAAGACATGGTGGACATTCTGGATGTCGGGGTGAACAGCACGAGCCCGAACCACACCAGCTTATCCAACTTTGCTTTCCTCTACGGAGTCTTCCCTACAGCACCGAGCGTAGCCATCTATGCAGGACATTACAACATGGAGCTGGAGGTGGTAGGTTCTCTGTTAAACAACTCATTTCTGGAACAATGCAGCTTTTCAAACCTTTTAAGCATGAAAAATGCTTTAATCTGCAGCGAAACTGTGAAAGACGTTCCTTGTTGGTCTTGGAAACAGAAACTGGCTTCTTAACCTGAGCACATGATGCATGAAATCAGACATACAGAAGAATGCAAGGATAATAAAAATAAATGTTCTGCATATTTTTAACGATTTGACAGCGTTGGCAACACTTGGTCACATTTTTCTGCTTGAAAAGCTAAAGTAGTTTATTTCACAACATAAACACCATTAGCACCAACATTTTTTAAAGGGACCCAGTGACACATTATGCTGATTTACAAAACACAAAGAACCATATGTTCATGTTAAAATAGAGCAATACATATCAAGCATTCCTCCTAATAACCAAACGTAATCCCTTGAAGGGATGGTGTCCTGTAGGTTCTAGCTCTGTCCTTTGTCTCACACACCTGAGTCAAATGACTAAGCTAGCTCACCAGCAGCTGCCAGCGCTGATAACGAGCTCATATTGGAGTCAGCTGTGTTGAGGGAGAGATGGATCCTAAACACTCTATTTATTCACTGGATTGCTGATTGCCCGTTTGTAGTACGGGGTTGAAGTGGAGCCAACGGTGCCATATTGGTACTCCCTAGTTAGAGAGGTCGCAATGTAAGCAATATAGCATCGAACAGCGATGATGTTCTCATTTTCAGGGGGACTTGAGACTTTTGAAATAAAGATAAATTCATCACTTTGACACACACCGGCTGTTTCATAGCATCAGTAGTTTACGTTCACTTTTATTAAAACAATAGGCCCACCACATTGCATAGTCATTATGAATTCTCTAAATCATGTAATATTTTATATTACATGATTTAGAGAAATCCATCACAACAAAATTAATGTGTTAATGAAGAATAATACAGATGTGCCAAATGTGCTAATGTATTAAATACATGTAATAAACATGTATTTAATACATTGTTATGGTAATTACATTTTACATATAATATTAAGAATATAGATCAAGACTCAATTACAATCACATGTCTGTTAATGCTATAGTAATTTTCTATTTGCAAATTGTGCATGCATGATGCCATGTACTTTAATGCTGTCTCTGCGCATTAGCCTTTAAATCTGACTGGTTTACAATAGAGCTAAATTAATGAACCAATTGAATAACTCCACAGAGCTTCAGTTTCTACACTAGCAAAAGCACATACCGTATTTTCACGACCATAAGGCGCACCGTACTAAAAGGCGCAGTCTCAGTTATGTGTGCACTTTCTGTATTTAACTCACACATAAGGCGCACCGCACTATAGGGCGCGTTTTTTATATACAGGTACATGTCCTCTACTACGTTTAAATACCTCTACTGCGTATTTAAAAATAGAGCGGGAGCAAAACTGAGTATGTTTGTGCTTTATTCATGTATTTATTACAAAGTATTAATCAAACCTGGGAGCTGGCCGTGAGACAGACACATCGCTCTGATGACAGAGCGCTGTGATCACTCCTCTGAAACAGTTTATTGACGCATAAATTAACTTAAAATGCAGAAATCTGCCAGCAGAATATGTTCGCTATTATTATCCAGGTGCCTGCCTCCTTGCGGCCGGCCAGAGGCTGCTGTTGAAAGGATTCCTACTGACAGCGCACCACTGGTATGTGGGGGTCTGAGCGCCTCAGATTGAAATAATATTACAAGGCAGGATGATAATCTGGATGAACTGACTGCAATGATTAAGTTTTCAGGTGGACTTTCTCACTTAAAAACATATTAAAACTACTTTATTCCCACTGATCACAGCAAATATAGCTGCAAGGTGTATTTATTACAAAGTATTATTCAAACCTGGGAGCCGGCCGTGAGAGACACATCGCTGATGATCACACAGAGCGCTGTGATCACTCCTCTGAAACAGTTTATTGACGCATAAATTAACTTAAAATCCTGAAACCTGCCGACAGAATATGTTTGCTTTTATTATCCTGGTGCCTGCAGTTTAGATTATTTAGATTAAAAACACCTGCCAGCCGCTGCGGTGAACCCGGAGGCGACCCGGCCCAGAGGCTGCTGTTGAATTAAGTTTTCAGGTAGAAAAATAGAGCGGGAGCAAAACTGAGTATGATTGTGCTTTATTCAAGTATTTATTACCATGTATTAATCAAACCCATCAAAGTCCTCATCCTCTGTTTCTGAATTAAACAGCTGCGCTAAATCAGACATGCCAGTTTCCCCTTCTTCTTCGCTGTCAGAGTCACTTTCCGTGCCGGGCGGCTCCTCGGAAATGATGCCGGGACCTTTTGCTGCGCCTATACGTGCGTCAACCATTGACTTTGCATGTAAACTCGCTGCTTCTGCTGCGCCTGCTGCGTCCGGTTCACACCGATGTCGAGCGGTTGCAGCAAGCACAGCGTTCATTTGTTTCACCATGTTTTTCACATCAGCTGTGAGATGGGCACGCATGGAGTCACAGATTAACAGCAATGGTGGTGAGTGGAAAAAAAACACCTGGTCTCCTTACATTCAGCCACTCTTTCATCATCTCCTCAATGAGGTGGTCTCAAAAGTCGCAGTTACAACACACATAGGGCGCACCGCACCAAAGGGTGCGCCGCACATTTTGAGGGGGAAAAAAGACGTTTATATGCGCCTTATAGTCGTGAAAATACGGTAAATTGGTGAAATACCAGGCAACATCTTCATAATGTGCTTTTTGCTCTTAGTAACAACAACAACCTGATAATTTGAAAATACTATACATACAAGTATGTATACACACACTGACTTTGACAGTGAAATTATCTGTCTTCCCACAGCCGGCAAACTGCTTGCTTTTGCAGCCAAATGCTACACATGTAGACATTTTATTGCACTTGTCCGTGGCAGTTGGGAGTTATAGCATGGTAGAAGGTGTCTTTATTTTTCCGGGCAATCAGCAATTGAGTGAAAAATTAAAGATCAGTGATCCTAAAGGACTTGAGTTTTAGACCAGATGTAAAAGTTGTACGCCGTCACCATCTGCTGGCAGTGCTTACTCACACCCCACCTTCAGTTGAAGCTGATATTCATATTACTGCCCCTGGCAAAAAATTTGGAATTACTGGTCTAGGCGGATGAAAACAAAAAGGAGGCCACAGACATGACGCAAAACTGAAATCATTTCAAATGGAAACTCTGAAAGAAATTATGAAAAAAATGTGGTAGTCAGTAATGGTTACTTCCTTAGAGCAAGCAGAGGGAAAAAATTATGGAATCACTCAATTCTGAGAGAAAAAGTTCTGGAATCATGAAAAATAGACTGCTCCAACACATCACTAGTATTTTGCTGCACCACCTCTGGATTTAATAACAGCTTGCAGTCTCTGAGGCATGGCCTTAATGAGTGACAAACGGTACTCTTCATCAATCTGGCTCCAACTTTCACTGATTGCTGATTCCAGGTCAGCTTTGCAGGTTGTAGCCTTTTCATTTACCTTTTTCTTTTATTTCCAAAGATTTTCAATTGGATTAAGATCCAGACTATTTGCAGGCCATGATATTTGCTCTATGGCAAGATGTTTTATCATCTTGAAATATGATTTCAAAATCCTTTCAATAGATGGGATCAGAAAAGTGTTCAAAATCAACGTACACTTGTGCATTTATTGAAAGTGTAATTATAGCCTGGTTCCTGTACAGTAGTTCACTGAAAATGATTTGGTTCTTATTTAGAGGTGCTGCTTTAAGACATAATTTATTATTTTGATTCTTCAACAGGTTTATTTCTAGATTTAGATATCTTAAATCAAGGAAAAATAATCCTGCATTAAGGACACATAATTTTAATTTGTTTGTTCTTGGTTATAGACAACCTTTTTGTTTTATTTGTTTTTTATAGGGCTGTTAATCCTCAGCTTGTTTTTCTCTTTCAGGTCACATCAGGTATGGTGATCAGCACCTTCTTGTCAGCACCAATCATGTACGTGTCAGCCTGGTTGCTGACCATCCCTTTAATGGACCCGGCCCCCCTGGTGGCGGAGCTCGAAAACGTCAGCTTCAACATCAGCATCATCAGCCTTATAGGACTGGTACGCGTTTTTTAAGCGCGGTAAAGGGCACTGGTATTTGAAAAAAGGGGAAACTCAGTTTGCGTTTGCCTTCCTCTCAGGTTTGGACCATCGCTGTGATGCTGCTTAGCAGGAAATTCAATCAGCTCCCTCATCTGTTTGTGTTAAACCTTTTCCTGGCTCAGGTCAGTCAAATCTGATGCTGCATCACACAACATATGTGGGTCACTTTGGTTTGTGCCGATTCTCTTAACCCTCTGCTTTATGCTGCAGTTTTTAGTCTGTGTTGGGATGATCCTGTGGAATTTCCTCGTGAAACAACAAGATAATCTCCTCAGCAAAATCCTCACATTCACTCTGCTGTACGGATCTCTGTACAGCACCTATATCTGGACAGGTTTGTAAATTTAAAAATTAAATCCTATCAGTTCCTGTAAAGTAACTTAAACATTTTATTCTTCTTGCCCCCCCAAATCAGGATTAATCCCTCTCTGTCTGGCTCTGACTAACAGAGATGATCTGCTCAGACTCAGACCAGGAATCTTCATGGCCGTTGGCTGGGGGTAAGTATTCACCTACCTGGGAATGAAAGAGAAATAAGTTAGTGTATGCAATTTGGTAATAATCTGGTCTGGTTGCTGTTTTTGTGGTTGTAGGGTTCCCTTCGCCATGGTTGGAGTTCTCCTGATTGTAGGAGAAAGAACCGAAACCCTCGACTCTGCCTTCTTCTACGGAAGAGCTCAGGTTTGGATGGATGGCAGCTCCTCTAATACTTTTTAACATTTTGGAGATGCACTGATCTGGAATTCTGTGGATGATTTCTGATCCCCAGTTTCTGTGGAGCTTCCGTTTTTGTCCACTTCTGATTTACCTTTAAATACTGAAAAGGCAAAGTATTGCCTTGTAGCGGCCTTGGTCTTAGCTTTAGCTTGTGTCTTCAGTGGGTAAAAAATCCGATCTCCACATTAAGATGGAAGGATGTTGGATCTTTTAATGGGGTCCAGGTTGACGAGATTGTTAAAGTTAAATCCACAGACAGGTCAACGTTGCAAAAAGCCAGCAGTTTGAGCCAGCTTCAGTTTAAACACCTGTTTGATAAAATGAATAACCACCAGGCCACATCCAAACTCACCTAAATAAATGGGATTAATACGAATAAAAAGCATCTAGAATAAGAAGTGTAAATGAGAAAACGGATCCTGAATTTTAACTACATGTGGAAATTTAAAGAAAACACAAAAATTAAATGTACAACAATGTCTAAAACTCTAAAGTAGAAAGAAAATTATACATGCGTTTTTGAATTTATATTGCTTTTGCTAAAGAAGCCCAATCCTTTTTCTTTTGATCTTTTCTTCATAACTGTCATGATGGGTTCACAAGAGAGACCCAAGTATGCAGAACCCACGAGAAGGAGACTGGTTGAAAGGTTAACAAAGGTTTATTGTTTCACAAGAACATGGAAATAACACTGGTACTGGTTCAGGCCTGGGGGGCTGGTTCACTGGAGTCTGCGTGGGAGACAGTTCAGTTAGCGTTGCATCAGAAGAGTTTGACTTTGAGAGTCTCAGGTTTGTACCTTGAGGGTTCTTGGTTAAAGCTTTGGGAGGAGAACTGTTGGGTCCAGAGATTGTTTGTTCAGCAGAGTCCGTTAGCTGCTTCAGCGTCTTACTTCTAGAGAGAGGGCAGACCTTGGTTTTGAGTTTCCAGCTCTTGGTCCAGAGCTGCATGGAAATCCAGAGAGGAGTCTTCAGGTTTGGCTCAGAGGGCAGACTCGGCAGGTTAAGCTCTTCCAGAGCTTCACAGGAGAAAAACAGGTTTCCTGAAAGTAGAGACAAAAAGGGTTAGAATCCAGTCTGGATTCAAAGTCAACAAAGTACTCAGAAGGATCTTGGCTTAGGTGCTAACCAACTAGATTCAACACTGCGGCATTGAGGCAAGGTCTGAAGACAGCTTATATAGTGTGGACCCTCTGATGAAGGAATGAGCCTCAGCTGTGCAGGAGGCTCGGCTCCGGAGGATCCACGGCGGACTCTGCTGGAGGAAGGTGGTACTACTCCAGCTCCCAACAATAACGGAGGCAATGTTCATATCGCATCTTTTGCCAACTAATAGACTGACCCAGAGATGTTTCTCTGCTCCTCCTGCAGTCGCAGTAAGATTGCTAAGCACTGTTTCACAAAATATTGCTATTATGGGATAGAGGAAAAAAAAAAGAAACACTCTGACAGACCAGGGTCAAATGTGTTTACCTGTCTGTCATGTTGAGTCCTTGACCCGGCATTTAAAGGGGACGGGCTTCACGTTTGACTGCGATTTTCTCACATATAAGTGCGAATACAGAGGTAAATGTGTTTTAAACAGGCTGTTACACTCAATAAAAGTCAGTCTGTCTGCCTAATTCCAGTGAAAATACGTCAACTTTCAGCATAGCCAGCGTTTGTGCAGAAATGTTCTGCAGAGAAAAAGAGGAGCCCAGATGTCGCTCAGATAAAGTCCCCCTGTGTGTAATCTAATTGAGTTTAAATCAAGATGTTATACTGGGAAACAAACAGCATCTTGAAGTCCAAGGAACACAGTAGAGACGTTTAAATCAGGCTTAGGTTATAGAAAGATTTAAAGGAGAAAGATTTAAAGGAGTTTCCTTAAAGCTGTAGCTCAGTAATTTGGGTTTCTTCTTCTTTGACAGCTGCTTGTGACTTTTATCACATTTCTAAACCGTGATCAATTGTGTCGCAGACTAGACTAGAAATGCCGGTTCACCTTTTTACTGACCCGCCTTCAGATTGGCCAGATGGTTGCAGAGAGGCTGAGATAACTGCAGCCAGGTCTCTGAGGTCTTTAGGTTAAACTCGTTTTAATATCTTCAGAGAGTGGTTTTAAAAACTTTGTTCTCTGTGGGGCTCTTGGTGAAGTTTATCTGTTGTGTTTGTTGTTTTTACTCAGATAATCAGCTCTGCTGTGGTTCTGGCTGTAAGCCTGGCCCTCGGTGCCATTTCTCTGATGGGTCTGAGCCAGGGAGACCGGGAGCAGATCGGCTATGAAGCCCTGAGTCGAGCAGCTGTCACAGGCATCTGTGATGAACCGAGGCCCCCTGGTGGCCTGGAAGATCAACAGCAGCAGACAGACCTGACCAATTCCTCCACCTGCCACGCTGGTAGCTCTGTTCTCTATTTATCTCTTTGATTTTCTCTCTGACTTTTTACCTAATGGTGTCTTTTTACCCTCTTTTTTGTCTTGTTGAGATTTCAACAACATTTCTCCGCTCCAGACCATACCTGACATGATCGCCAGCACTCAAAGGGAGAATGCAAACAGCACAGGTAACTTAGATCATAACAGCATGAACTAGAAGCTGAAAGAGTCTGCATTCAGGCAGGTCTGAAGGGAGGAATATCTTTATTTTTGGATTCTTTTGCAATAATTCTGAGAGGGATAAAATAAGCAGCTAATAATCGTTTGTTCAGTCCTCGTTTTTAATTCTGCCTTCCTGCTTTAGGCCACAGTGGGGCGCTGTGTGATGGACAGCTATCCAGCTCGGGGCCTTCAGAGCAGCCGCTGGACCTGCCTCCACCTGGCCTTCAGAGCACTGATGACCAACAGACTGTGAGACACGTTTTACTCTGTCTGCTGCTCAGCGTCAGCCTGCTGGCGGTGAGGAAACCAGAAGAGATTAGCGTTTCACAGACAGTATAAATTCACTTGTGCTGTGATCAGCTGAAGGAAAGATGGATTGTCTGATTGTGATGTCTGTACAGAATCTGTCCAGCTGTCTTTGGTGGTTGTTCAACAAGGATCCAGGCCGTCTCTACCTGGAGCTGCAGTTTTTCTGTGCGGTAGCCAACTATGGGCAGGTATCTGAACCCGATGATCCTTTCTCTTCTTGCAAGGAGAACATGTATTATAGCTCCTTCTCTGTGTTTCCCAGGGTTTCCTGTCATTTGGGATATTTGGTCTGGACAGACACCTGATCATCCTGCCATTCAAGAAGAGGTAGGCTGATTCTTCAGCCATTGCCGTCTGACACGATTGGAGAACTAACCCTAAATTATTGTCCAGGTTTCTCAGCCTCTGGCACGGCAGAGACGGAGAGGATCTGAGTCAATCCGCCGTCCCCGAGGAGGTCCGCCTGACCTGCACCCAGTTTGTCCGCTACCACAAAGACCAGTGTGTGCAAGATATAGTACACACTCGCAGGTATGAGGAAATCTGTGCCCAGGCTTAGTTAAGAGAGAGGATATCTGTCCCTTTTTCCTGTTCTGTCAGATGAGCATACCCATAGTCAATACGCATGCACAATACGTCAGATTTGCGTTTATAGCTGTATTGTTGTACTTTAAACTACCTCAACAGGCATGTATCCCTTTAGTCATGCAAAAAAAAGCAGTTTAAGTTCATACACTCTAAAAAAACACAAAAAAGTAAGTAAAAAAAATAATATTTTTGTGCATGACTAAAGGTTTACACGGCCGTTATTCGAGTTTGAATTTTATTTTAGGTACAAAACTAAACAGAAGGGATAAACAGGTATTGACTATGGGTATTCTGGTCTGACCGCTCATCTGACAGAACACCGGAAAACCCATTTAAACCCGGGAACAGCTTTTAATGGCAGAGGAAACAGCTCACTGGCGCGTGTCTACCCGGGTCAAACGACTCGGCTAGGGACCAACGTTAAAATCACCCCGGCTCTGATCAGCTTGCTGGGAGAACACCAGAACCGGGTTGACCCGCTTAATTACGTGACACCATTGAACGCAACATACGGATGTCAACACACTGCGCCACTTGCTTCTGACCTAGCAAGCCGAAACAATTTGATAAACATGGCGGAGCACTGGTGGGAGGGAGTCAGACAGATAAAAGAGCGAAATAATAATATAAAGTCCATGTTGCTCTCCTTTATTCACTTCCCTGACATACGTTCATATTGTCGACATCAACAACACTTGCCCAGCGTGATAGCGTCATCAGACATTTAGTGGTGGAGGGACAGGGGCCACAGCTTTCCAGCATGGGGTCAGACTCGGCTTTTAAGTCAAATGGGAAAAGAGCCAAAAGTGGATTGTCAGCAGGTCAACCCGGTTTTGAAAAACACTGGGAAAGCAGCTCAAGTATCCTTTATATTCTGCCAGTGAGACCTTTTGGTGAAAGTTTTTCTGATGTGTCTTTACTGGCTTTGAAAATGTTGACATCTTTCCTTTTCTACTCTCCCAACACTGATCCCCTGTTATAGTTCTAAGTCTGGACTTTGACTAGGCTAGATTTAGAAATAGGTTTGATTTCCACTGGTAACCCTGAGAGTTTGGGGTTGTAAGGCTGGAAGGTTCTGGCTCACGTCTCTTTTACTTCTTACTGGGTTTCTTTTCTAATTCCTCCCTATTTTTGCTCCATCTCACTTCCTATCAATTCTGGCCAGCTTCATGTTAAGCTGTTAATATCGACCTGAAAGTCCCACATATGTCCTTTTTGTCCACAGACCCTTCTTCAGGATGTTTACTTTGACTTCTACCTGGCTTTCTGCTCACTTTAGGACCGAATCAATTAATTATGTATCAAAATAATTATCAACTAATTTGGTAATCTAATTGTTACAGAATATGATCGGTCTTTTCCTTTAAAAGCATGATATTTCCTAAAATAATAACCCCATTTTATCAGTGTTTAAGACAAAACTCTACAAATATGAACTATAGGAGTGTAAGAAAGAAATAGTTTGGTCAAATATTGTGCTATTTTTATTTTATTCAATCCATTCAAAATATGTCAGAAAGGATCTTAAATGCAAAAAAATATTTATAGCCTAACATCCAGCTGATAGGTGGCAACAAACCACCCATGTTTCAGCCAGTTTCCAGAGCAATATTATAAAAAAACACCAGATGTCTCATTTGTTAATGTATCAGGATAAATTGTACTGTGAAATTCTTGCAAATTCACACCCCTAAAGAACTATAAACGTAAAATATAAACAATTTTTTTCTTTAAAGATTATATTTTTTTTCTTTATACATATATCATAAAAATTATATAAATAAATATATAAAAAATTGCATGTATACTTGTATATTTTATATCTTTTGCCATTTGCATTTCATAAAAAAATAATAAATTAATTTAAGGATCAAGAGCCGCAGTGTGTGTTTGCAGCTTAGGGTCAAGGTGTAATCTGTGTAATAGCTGACTCCTTTTGAAATTAAAAAATTGAGCGTATAAAAATTAACTAGTAGAAGTGCTTTACTTTGCACCTTTATTCACCTGGAATAATTAACCTCATTATTGTAATAAAAATTTATTTCAAATTGGCATCAAATCATTAGATAATCTGGAAACTGTGATATTCACTATTACAGATTTGTTTTGTGAAAAGAACAAACTCGGAGCAGTAATTAGAAAATGTTTAAACATTCTGTTTTTAATATGTAAAAATCCCTATTTCTGTATAAATCCTCTATCCTGAACTTCGTATTGAACCAGTTTTAGCTTCAGATTCAAATTCTGTTCAAAGAAATCCGATGAAGAATCTTTGCTATCTGTTGGTTGATTAAACCAAAAAAAGAATCAAGTAAAATAAGCGTTAGTTGCAGCCTTTCATCTTCTGACTTTTCTCTGGTGAAGCTGCATGAATCTTCCAGTACTGCTTTCCTGTTTCCCCATATTTAGTCTGTAAAAGGGTTAAATATGGATCCTTTGGCGCCGCATTTATGACTCTTGGCCGTGACTCTACTTTTTTCTTTTACCTCCAAGGAACTAATCCTTTGCTTGCTCTGTCTCTGCCCTCTTTCCTTTGCTCCATCGACTGCCTCCTGTTTCCCCTCCTCTCCATCACATCATAGTGCCTCTGGGGAGAGTGTAAACGCTTCGGCAGGTGAATCCTTCCTCTGATTGTCACAGGTTTGGAGGACTGACCCAGGAGAAGACGGCGGTTGGACGTTGCCTTTCCCATCATCCCCAGTATTCAAACACAAACCCCTCTGATCAGGATCAAAGACTTAGTGAGTCACAGAATCTACACCAAAATCCCCGTCCAGATGAATCACGCAAACAGACCTCGCTGCCTTCCTACCAGGAGGCTCAGGATGAACACCAAGGATATGTTTCTGCCCCTCCGCCACATCTTGAAAGCGTCTTTCTTGGCAGTGACTTGGTCGACTGGCTAATAGAGCGCGGTCTGTGTGCTGGGCAGACCGAGGCCAGGCTTTACGGCGTTCGTCTTCAGCGGGGAGGAGTGCTGAGCCCCCTGGACGGCCAGCAGAACTTCAGGGATGAGCCCACTCTGTTTTATCACTTCACACAGGAGGACAGATGGTCCAGGAGCACGTGAGAGGAAGCGACAACCGTAAAGGCGCCGAGCTGGAAGTGCCTTATGGTGAAGTTATTGCTACAGCTTGGTTGTCATGGCTCCCAAAGACTGCCGAATTAGGGGCTGAATTCATTTCAATAAAAAAAAAAAAAAATGCATAAAGATACAGAGAGAATTTCCCGACTGCCAGAACTCAATATCCAGTTATTTTCTAAACAGCGAATGCACCCTAGCTAAGCACAACCACAGTGAGTTCAAAACACTCTTCAGCGTGGAGGCTGTTACTGAGAGAGGCAGCGCTAAAATTAGCTACAGGTCCACCAGAATCAAGAGGCTATTTCTCGCTCTCACAGCTGAGAAAAATAAAGTTATTTTATTCTCTCAGTGCCGTCGGTTCTGACGGCTTCTTCTAAACACATCGTCTACGCAGAATTTGGAGAATAGTTTTAAGGGTTGGTCAGGACTGTTTGGTAGTAAATATTGCCCCTTATTTCAGGTGTGGAAATCCTTACACTGATCTGTTACTATAACACAGTGTTTTTCAACCCTGGTCCTCAAGGCACCCTGCTCTGCATGTTTTGGATGTTTCTGAGGTTCAGCACACCTGATTCAGATGATTGCAGTTCAGCAAAGCCTGATAATCTGCTATCAATTGATAACAGGTGTGTGAAAGCTGGGAAACATCTAAAACATGCAGGGCAATGTGCCTTGAGGACCAGGATTGAAAAAAACTGCTACAACGGACGGTCCGCTGAGCTCTTTTTCAATTTGAAGAATACTGTCTCTTCCTTTGTGTTACATTTCTTTAGCGGTTAAACAAAAGTGGATGCGGCTCTCCATGAGTCTGACTACAAAGTGTACATCTTTGGTTCTCGTTCCTGGCACAGTGAGAACAAGAACATCTTATTTGGTTCTTGCACAGTTTGTAGCAAGCTTATGTCTAGTGTCAGTGAAGTGGTTTAAAAAGTCCAACTGAGATGTAAGAAGGTATTTATTAATGGTCTCATAAGAGCTACAACAGATATGTGGTTCATAGAGAGAAAGCAGAGTCATGTCTGTTTTATTGGCTAACAAAGCTTGTTAGCTTAGTTAGCGCTTAGTTTAAGGAGAGCTCAGAATGCTGTAAAGCGGCACTTAGGGTCACATGACTCATTCAGTGACTCATCTGACTCCTTGGTTACGTAGGCGTGTTTTTAAGAAGAGCAGCTGACATGAATCATCTCTGCGTTCCAATTTCTGAATATTGATCTGAAAACTTCAAATATCCCAAAATAGGTTAATAGGTGGCTCAGAAGTTTCAGTGTTGCCATAAACAGGATTCGGTTTCATACCAGCTGCCTCTATTGCTACGTTCAGACCGCATGCTGCAGGAGAAGCAGCTAGTTTACATGCAAAGTCAACGGTTGACACGCATCAAGGCGCAGCAAAAGGTCCTGCAGAGCGTTTGGAGCAGCCAAAATGCAAGCTTCTAAACATCTGACGCATGAAGCAGCAGCAGCAGCTGCTGGAGGAAAAATTTAACTTTTTCTGCTCGACGCGCCGCATCAACCAATCAGAGAAGCTTATCTGGGAGCTGGCAGGGATGATGCATAGCGCTATATAGCGGTTTAATAATGCTTAAATTCACTTAAAATGTCGAAACCTGACGACAAATTATGTTTGTTTTTATAATTCTGGTGCCTGCAGTTTGGATTACGTACGTGAAAAACGCTAATTCCAGCCGCCGCGAACAGTAGCGGAAAACTGAAACTGCTCTGACTGCGAAATCATATTTGAAGACAGGATGGTAATGTAGATGAACTGATTGCACAGATGAAGCTTTCAGGTGGACTTTCCCACTTAAAAACATTAAAACTACTTTGTACGCACTGATCACAGAAAATATAGCTGCCATTGTTACTGGCAAAGAAAGGATAGGGGAGCTCTGCCCAACATGCATCAGACCCACCTTTCGTCCGCGCAGCTAGAGCATCAAAAATGAAGCAGCACACGCGTTTTTGATGCTTCTGCTACATACGTTTGAACTTAGCATATCACTTATATTTTAGGCAGCTTAAATGGCTAAACTTTGAGTGGTTCCCAAAGTTGGGAGCTCTCCCCCTAGGGAGGACGCTGAGTAATAAGAGGGGAAAACATGGGAGAAATGAATCAAATAAATGACCCATGTTGATAGGTATTCAGGAAAATGGTATGTTTCTAGACTGTACTCCTGTAGGACAAGCCTTGTTGAATGGTCTGAAGATGTAAAACTTCATCCATTTCTTATGATGATACAGCTTGTACAGAAACTCTAACCAATTGGTCCCTATAAATCTATTACATTTTTCACCTTTAGAGTTTTATTTCATCAATAATTTTTAAACAAATGAGTTGCACATTTAGTTTCAGTCATGACAAGATCAAAGATTTCATCTGCTGTATCTGGAGCCTTCAAAGCTGTAAATTACAAATTTGTATGAGGTCTCTCCTAACATAACAAACATTATTTTTTTTCTCTCATTTGAGTCTGTCTCCATGAAAACAAACCCTGTCCCGGATTTTTTACCAAAGCAAAGTGAGGCGTAGAAATAAAAGTTTTCGGCCCCCTGTTTTAGAGCCACTCATCCAGCACACATTAAATGACGCTCAGTGGTGGTTCTAGACCAAATGTATCAGGGGGTCGGGAGGGGGCCAGCGTGTTTTCATGGGGCCACAGAAAAGCATGAAACAAAAAACAGGGCAAGGGATTCAAATGTATCAAGATAGCTACATGAAGTTAGATTACCATTCGATTAGGTTTAATTAAAATTCTGTCTTCCAACGGAAAATATTTATTTTTGGCTTGAAAATGTTCATTTGGATTGTCGTTAAAATAAAAATAAAAATCTCTTAGCTAAAAAAAAATATCTAAAAGATCAAATTAAGCTTTTATTTTGAATATTAGGTCAATATACATTCATAATTTAGGAATTTTACAGATTTTTCACTTAATTTAAGTTAAAATTATACTTTTCTATAAAATTTCTTTTAGTATTATGTCTGCAGTACAGGGACCATAACAGGGGCCAGGACATGATCTACAGGGGCACTGGCCCATGTTGGCCCCTTTCTCGAACCGCCCATGATGAAGCTGCCACTGCTGTTCATATAATTAATTACTGAGTTATCACAGATGGAACGCTAGAAAAAAAGAAATGGAAATGCTGTTTGTGTAACTTTCCCTATTTGTTTCTAAAGAAAGCTAGAATATTCAGATGGATTATTGGCTAAAGAAGCTTTAGCATGCCAAAGTTTGACTAAAAATGCAGTCTGGAAGTGATGCCTGATTAGATTAGGTTGTTTTTTTTTGAGTGATTTAAAACAGAAGAGTTAGAATTAAAGAAGAAATGTCCCCTTCTGGTCCTGGACCTCTATTTAAGTTCTTACCCCATTTGAACAGCTCTAATGATTGAGACTTCTGTGTTATAAGCTGCTGATTTCTTCAGTTGTTAGTCTGTAAACAAAGGGCTGGTGACCATCAATCAGCTTCATCCTCCGGTTTGATGGGAGAACAAACAGATCTCTGACTTAAAATCTGTCCAAGGATCCTGCAAACTTTTTAATTTGTTTCAGGTGGGCTGAAAAAAAGAAAAAAAACACCTCTTCCCGTGCTTCCTGTGAAACCAGAACATTATTTTGCACGCTATCCCAGTTTGTGCTGACGTAATGCATGACTGAACCATTTGCACTGAGTAAATGTGAAAAACATAAATGCCACTGGACATTTTGCTTCGAGTGTTTGTCGGCTGGATGTTAATTTCTGTAACCTTTGTAACCCTTACCTGTTGTTGTAAAACGTTTTGTTTAAAGCTGTTTTTCTTCAGTATTTTTTTTTTTTAACTGAAAAGATACATTTCTAAGACGTTTACCCAGAGAAAAAGCACATTTCAGGAGTTGTTTGCACTTTCAGGGCCAAAACTCAGCCATGATAAAAACTCTTTGTTTTGCTGTGTTTTGCAAAAAGCCTCCTTACTTCTTTTTACAACACATTGTTGGTTTGTTTACAGTTTATAGACTTGGTGATAAATGCATGTTTAAAACTCCTCATTAATGTCAAACTGATGTGATTATAGTGTGAATGAGATCAGTCCACAGTAATTGACACATAAGTGGAATAATTAGCCCACTGTGATAGTTAACAGCCTGGAAATAAACCAAGATGTCACCCTTCCTCCTTACAGCCAGTGGGAGTGCTAGTTCATAAAAAAAAATTAAATAACTGCTCTGACAGTAGATTTTTGCCTTTTCTGACTTAATTGGTTAATTTATGTTCTCTTATTCTCACTTTTTAAAATTTTCCTTCGACAAACAGGCCTCTGTAACCCAATGTTTTACTCTGGCTGTAACAATAAACCGAATCATAACAATAACACCGATGAATAAATCGATTGATCGATGCAAAGACAAAATCTCGATCCACATCACCATCTTCAGGATTACTAGTGTCACGATACAAGTTTTTCATTTCCAATACGATAGCGATAGTGCACCTTTGAGTAATGACCAATACTGATATTAACCCAATTTATCAGTGAAACCACACATTCTTGTCTCACTGTGAGAAATGTTAGAAAAGGCTCAACTGAAATTGTTCCACCGGAGAACAATAGTCACCATCAATAGGAAAGAGAACAACTGACCTATTTATTATGGGTTATAAAAACTTAAAATAGAAGCAGTTTGCCAACATTATACGTTTTAGATGCATGCCAATTAATTTAGAAATCTATTTTTCAGTATAATATTCTTCTCCCCACCTGGGATCTTTCCAAATAACACCCATTTCATCCACAATCTTTTATTTCTCCAGTGGAATCGGCGCATCACTACTATGGATAATATAAATTATAATTAATCAAAACTCACTCAAAAAAAAAAAAAAACAAGGGTTAAAAATTAGAAATATTCAGCGATGACTTTTCCACTGCTTCTTTATTCATTTTTTAAAATTCTTAAATGGTTTATTTTAAAACCTTGGATTTTTTTGAAGGATGTCTCCTCTGTTACCATGACGATTTTCTTAGAGTCTTAGAGTGTTTTCATTTCCAACCACAGCTGAGTTTCACTAAACAGGCTGCTGTTTTATCTGAGTTTACATTTTTTATTTCTATGTAGTGACTCGTTGTTTAATCAGTGCCTGCCTCTGACACCCTGAAGCGGAGTGTGTGTTAGCATGACCGATTCTAGCGGTCTATGCCGTGTGTTTGGGTGCAAAGAAGAGTCTTTCATTCTGTGTGTGACTGGTTAACGGGATAAATATCAACCTGGATGTTTGTTTATTGTATTTTCTCATTAGTCCATCAGGGTGAATAACAGCAGGATTTTGAAATATAAAGAAACCAATAAAATAAATTGCATCCAAAATGTCTCTCCTTCACTTTGTCAGATTGATTAAAACAATTATTGTGTTCCATTATGGGGGAATTTTGTTATCATTATTATTATTAATTAAAAAAAAGGTTTTGAGTTGCATTTTTTTCAAGTATCATTTTGCAGATCATATTCTCTTCACTTATCAGGGGGCTTTCCTTGGGCCTGAGGAATGAAGATGCATTTTATTGGTCTGTATGGACTTTATGGAAGTGAAGAGAACCTGATCGGTAAAATCCATTTGAAAAAAACAAAATAATAATAATAAAAAAGAATTTAGATGGAAAAAAGCAAACATGGAACTTTAGGCAACAGCATATTTCTTTCAAAACCTTTCTTGATTTGAACATTTTTCAAAGTTTAATACCTGGATTTCATTTTTTTCTCAAAATTTCCACTTTCAAAACATGTTTTTTTTTTATGTGCAACAGTAATGGAACAAAATTCAATCCATTTTCTACTAAGAAACACATTTATTGAACATGTTATTTTATATTCCACAGAAATCAGACTTCATTGTGCATTGAAAACACTTTCCCCTTTTTGCTCAAAACAGGGTAATAATTTCAAACAGACATAAAGCTTTTTTAAACTAAAACAACATATTCCCAAAAACACAGGATTAATAAGACTGATTTCTGGTTCTTCAAAAAAAGTGCTTTTTACATTTTTACTTTTGTTTCTGAAGCCTCAGAGATTTTAATGTTGGCTTATTTATTCTTTGCACATTGTGGGAAAAAAAAAACAAAGCTCACATTTTGTGTTACATGAAATTTAGATCAGAAAGATGACAGAAGTTTAACTTAAAGTTAATCACAGATGAATCTATTCATTTAATGACATATTTAAATATGTTAAACAGATGGAAAATAGAAAATATAGAAAATCTATGTAATAGAAAAGTGCAATATAGATCTGCATGCACCTAAGAAGACATGAGAATCCCAAACATGTGTGAAGCACTGAAGCTCACAGTGTGGACATAACACGATGGATTTTATTGAGAACCAGCTGTATATGAGCATAAATTGATCAATGAGCATAAATTCAATATCAAAACAACTTTAAAAAGAACACTGCATTCTAATATGATCCCTGGGATCATCATCATATTCATTTCTGGCCTGGAACCTTGTTGAACCTCCCTAGAAGAAGCTGAGGAGTGTTTTAGGGAGAGGGATCCCTGTTCTTTTAATCCCCCACTGGAAAACAGTACAATTAAAGGTTGGAACACTAGTGGGCGAGAAGAAAAGCTTGTAGCTATCTCCTTTAAAAATATACATATTTGAGCAAAACACAACATTCATGTCTACAGTTCAGATAGTTCCAGGCCACAAATCTCTGTGATTTCCTGACTCATTCACCAGTGAACACAGTTATAGGTACTGTACATTAAGACACGTTTATAAGAAAAAAGGACATATTAGATATGTAAACATACCAAACAGCTCTACAATAAAGTTTAGGTAGCTGCAGTGACCGTATCAGGCAGTAAATATTAGCGTTGCAGTAAGTATTGGCGAGTACCGACAATTAGGGCAGCAATACTATTTTGAGAGCCAAAAGTTTATTCAACTATTGTCAACCATTCCAGGTAGGCATAAAAAGTTCTACTGAATTCACTTTGTATTAGTCTCAAGCCATGATGGCAATTATTTTACATCCAAGCATTATGCAGTTCTTAATATATACACACACATCAATTTCAAACAGATGACATCGGCCAATACTGCACAGCCAGGTATCGGGTATCGGCGCAACACTAGTAAATATCAACATGGTTAGCTTTAGAAAGAGTGCAATAGTAGTGTACTTGTAGGCTTTAAACAAAACATTAAACCAGTAAAGTGGTTATCAAGGTATTTGGAGGTTATCTAATCAATCTTACATTGTTTCATTTGGCTGTAACATTGTTAAGGGCGTTCAGATATTTAGTTTTCTTTGCTCGTATTTATTATGGCTGTTATTAAATGCATTAACAGAGTTTATCGCTTAAAAGTCCAGAATATACAATCCTACACATGTTTTCCCTTTATTTTAAAATTCAACTGGATCCATTGACTATCTGCCTGAAAAATCCACTCAACTAGAGATTGGCATGAAGTGGGTGCTCGTCTGCCTGGCTGTGTGTTTCCTGGATGGGGCTGCCTGTGGAGCTGGTTGAGGGTGGCCTTTTGTATCTCTGCTTCTTTTTCTATGTCTGCTTTCATCTATTTGAATCCCAGTCGGCCTCAGCAGATGGCCGCTCACACTGAGCCTGGTTCTGCTGGAGGTTTCTTCCTGTTAAAAGGGAGTTTTTCCTCTCCTGAATGGAAATTATTGAGAAGAATAGTCTCCCTAAATTGAAACAGAACAGTGTTCTCTTATTTCAACCTTTCTATAAAAGACAATGTCCCTAATGAAAGTCTTGTTCCTGCACAAGGTGGCTTATTAGTGAAATTGATTTTATATCAGGATGAACTTCTGAATAAAATAGGCTGTTTTAGGCTGCTCTCCACAATAAAATGACTGTTGAGGCAGCCTGGCACCTCCTTTGGAGTTTTTCCGGGTATGTCCCCCTGGGGACCCCGGGAAAAACTCAGAACTCACTGGGGGAGCTAAATTTATCCTGTTAAGCATGGGAACACCTTAAGACCCTCCAGAGCTGGCTCCATGGTGGCGCTGCTGTAAGAGATGCATTCCTTCAGGACCTGATAACGGATTCTCATTTCCACACCAAGACTAAATTAGGTTTAACATGTTTAGGTGGACTATTTCATTAGTGAAAGTAAAAGTTTGAGAGAAAAAAAGATGATGGCACACCTTTTTTTTTTTTTTAATCATTAGACATTATTTAAGCTTCTGACCCCCCCGTCATAAAACTCAAACAGATATGCACCCTCTATCTTTAACGGCTCTGGAGTGCAACTTAATCGACTCTGTGGTTATTCTGCACAGTTAAAGTTTTTTAAGCAATCTCTTATTTCATTCCAATAATGTAACCTTAAGTATCTTTAGCAATCTACTTGTTTGGATGATGCAATTCATGGAAAATTAAAAGAAACTCCAAAACGGAAATCAATATTTTACATTAAGACTGGTCAATCAATAACCTATAGGCTCTATACTTACTGTAAGCTGGGTTTTTTTGTTTTTTTTTTACACAAGTGGCTGTATAGATAGTTATAATCCATTTTACATTGCTTTAAGGAAAAAAAGAAACTCTTTAAAATGCAATTACATGGTTTGTTTAAATGAGAAATTTATATTTATGAAAAAAAAATAGTCATGTGAAGTACAAGATGAACAATTATAGCTCCTAAATGCTTAACAAAATTCTATACAGTATTATATATATATATATATATATATATATATATATATATATATATATATATATATATATATATATATATATATATATATATATATATATATATATATATATATATATATATATATATATATATGAAGTGATGGTTAATGAAGCATCTTGAAGCCAAACTGTATTGATGCTGTGTTGATCCTGTCTCATAGAATACTGACACATGCTGGACATTTAAAGACACTACAGCTACAGGCAGCTTATTGGAGGAAAATGTGAATGAGGATCCTTGTCGACTTGGAATTTGAATCATAATTTTAAAACAATAAGTACAGTAAAAATAGTAAATAAACTAAGAGTCATTTTGAAATTAACTTTAATTCAGATAATTTGAGTGATAACTGAGAGGAAAATTATGACACAACGAGAAAATTAAAATAAAAAGGCACGACTGTGCTCCAAAATTCTTGATCATTTTAATGATGAACCGCAAAAGATTAGACATTTTTTAGCAGATGCATCATGTTAACAGATACGTTTTTGAACACAGTTAAATGTGTCAGTAATTTAGAAAAAAATCCTGTATCAGTCACATGACTGTCTTGAAATAATAGGTAATACGCACAACGATACAATGTTCTGCTCTATGGGCTATATATATATATATATATATATATATATATATATATATATATATATATATATATATATATATATATATATATATATATATATATATATATATCTATACTGTTGTTCATTGTGTGTCTTTTTCAAACAATGGTATTTTGACTAAATTCCGCTTCAGTCAGAGAAAATTGGAGCAGGTTGGTGACGTTACTTTAAATCACAAAGAGGTTATTCTCTGCTTTTACAGACAACACTGCAATCTGCTGAGCAATCTGCAAAATAGGAGATGTTGGAAGTAAACACGATTAGCAGCCAACATTCACATCACAAATCCTATTTTTAATAGGACAAAGGTTTGATCGTCTCCAGGCGGACGGTTGATCTTTTCTCTTTAAGAGATAATCATCAATTTCTGGAAAATTTGATTTTTATTCTTTGCGTTTAGGATGAAGTCTTAGCTTCAGTGACCTCTAATGGGATTTTCCTAAAGCAAACCCAAAGGGATTTTAAATCCCACTTCAGGAAACTTTATAATAACTTTTCCATTTTAATATTTCACTTAATTTATGAACCTTTGAAAAGGACTAAACGTAACCGGATAAGAGCATAAGGTCATAACAATTATCGGCCTGAATGTCTTGAGTCTCCACAGTGACCTTAGAGAAATCTCACTTCTGGCGTGGATTAAAGGTCGCATGCTTTCATCTAGTGGTTTCTTTCCCCACCTGAGTTCTTTTAGTATTTAGTCCCTTTCTCATCTTTCAGTCATCTTCTCTTCCTATCCTGGCTGATTTCCACCTGACTGGTGCCATTACTGTCGACGCCGTCCACCTTGAGGTGAGCTCTGCCGTAGTGTTTGATCAGTGCTCCGGGCAGTAGGGCCATGAGGGCGATAGCCAGGAGCTGAGCCAGGGTCCCCAGGGAGAAAATGTCGTCCAGAGAGGAGATCTGGGACAGAATGGAGCCCGTACGGACACAGATGAAGTTATACGGGATCAAACCTGGAGGCGGAAACAGGGCAGCGGACGTGAGATCAGACCTACTATTTAGTTATTTTTATTTTTATGGTTTGTGAGTTAGCTCACCTATTAATACAGAGAAGAAGAAAATGGATATAGGGATGTTGAGGACAGGACAGGTGATGTTAAGGAACCAGTTAGGAGTCATGGGGAAGAAACGAAGGAAAAGCAGGAAGAAGAATAAGCTGCTACGGTTCTCTTCCACCTACAAGGAGGAGGAAGGACCAGGAAGAGGTGCAGGAAGAAAATAGAGGAAGGTTCAGCAGGCATTTAAAAAAAAGAAAAATGTTTTTAGGATTTAGGAAAAATTTATAAGTTACATACATTAATCGAAAATGAGAGAATCTGCTTTATATTAGTGAAACACTTCATGATAACTTGTATTAACAAACCATTAGAGAAGTCCACAAACCCAAAATTATTCATAGACTCGGCAGACTTTAAGAGAATTTCATTTAACCAAGAAGCTGTTTTTTTGATTGCAAATGAAACATGGATAAAAACTCAATCTAAAAGCATTAAGACAAACAGATGAAAGGGAGGTATTGCTGATACTGATTTCACTATTTGTAGGTGGAAAGATAAAAGCAAAGATTAAAAAACTAAATATTTCCACCATATAGGGAAGTAACCCAAAATAGCAGCTAATGTACATACTACAGAATTTTGTTTGCAAGGACTGTTAAATTTAAACAAAAAATAATCAGTACTCTATACACTCACTGGCCACTTTATTAGGTACACCTGTCCAACTGCTCATTAACACTTAATTTCTAAGCAGCCAATCACATGGCGGCAACTCAGTGCATTTAGGCATGTAGACATGGTCAAGACAATCTCCTGCAGTTCAAAGCGAGCATCAGTATGGGGAAGAAAGGTGATTTGAGTGACTTTGAACGTGGCATGATTGTTGGTGCCAGAAGGGCTGGTCTGAGTATTTCAGAAACTGCTGATCTACTGGGATTTTCACGCACAAACATCTCTAGGGTTTACAGAGAATGGTCCGAAAAAGAAAAAACATCCAGTGAGCGGCAGTTCTGTGGGCGGAAATGCCTTGTTGATGCCAGAGGTCAGAGGAGAATGGCCAGACTGGTTCGAGCTGATAGGAGGGCAACAGTGACTCAAATAACCACCCGTTACAACCAAGGTGGGCAGAAGAGCATCTCTGAACGCACAGTACATCCGACTTTGAGGCAGATGGGCTACAGCAGCAGAAGACCACACCGGGTGCCATTCCTTTCAGCTAAGAACAGGAAACTGAGGCTACAATTTGCACAAGCTCATCGAAATTGGACAATAGAAGATTGGAAAAACGTTGCCTGGTCTGATGAGTCTCGATTTCTGCTGCAACATTCGGATGGTAGGGTCAGAATTTGGCGTCTACAACATGAAAGCATGGATCCATCCTGCCTTGTATCAACGGTTCAGGCTGGTGGTGGTGGTGTCATGGTGTGGGGAATATTTTCTTGGCACTCTTTGGGCCCCTTGGTACCAATTGAGCATCGTTGCAACGCCACAGCCTACCTGAGTATTGTTGCTGACCATGTCCATCCCTTTATGACCACAATGTACCCAACTTCTGATGGCTACTTTCAGCAGGATAATGCGCCATGTCATAAAGCTGGAATCATCTCAGACTGGTTTCTTGAACATGACAATGAGTTCACTGTACTCAAATGGCCTCCATAGTCACCAGATCTTAATCCAATAGAGCATCTTTGGGATGTGGTGGAACGGGAGATTCGCATCATGGATGTGCAGCCGACAAATCTGCGGCAACTGTGTGATGCCATCATGTCAATATGGACCAAACTCCCTGAGGAATGCTTCCAGCACCTTGTTGAATCTATGCCACGAAGAATTGAGGCAGTTCTGAAGGCAAAAGGGGGTCCAACCCGTTACTAGCATGGGGTACCTAATAAAGTGGCCGGTGAGTGTATATTTATACAGTATATGCAGCACAATTTGACTTCAAAACCAAACCGTGATTTCTGTGTAACAGAACTGGCTAAATTGAATTTATAGTGAATTCTTGTTATTGATGTCACAACATGAAAAACTATCATAAGACTGTTCTGCACCATTTTCAGCTGGTACTTGATCTCTGTCATTTGGATACTAAAGGATCCAAAGTATTACTGGTGAGAAAATTCAGTTCTGTCAATTCCTAAGATTATTGATAACATATTGATTGAAGAACATTTTACACAGCACCGACTTTATCAACCTTAGGACCACAACTTTTTACACAGGTGTTCCCAGATCGAGATTAGCATCAATACAAGCACTTAAAGTATAATGTGTGGCAGCATTTAGCTTCTTGGAGCATCATCTACAGCTATATTTACATGGTAATAAGCAATCTGAATAAGCTGCCGGTCACACTGAACATGCATCACGTAAAGATGCCAGTCAAAATATTCTTATCAGATCTGGAAGGATTAGAATGAAATTATATTCCGATTGACAATCCAGGCTTTCACGTAAGCGCTTGTTTAGATCATGTTATTTTGATAGAGGCGAGCCAGCTGTGCGCAAGATATTCCCATCGACACCTTTCCACTATATATTTTCAGTCCAGTCGGATGTTTTATTCTATATACTCATGTCTATATCAATTCTAAAAGCTGATTCATTTTTATTTTTGAGTCAAAAATAATTGAGGCAGGCAGGCATAGCTAATAAGCAATTCTATCATCATCTAAATCACTGAAAAAAACTGATCAAAATCGATAAACGAAATCAGAATGTATAGCCTGCATTTTTATTGATACTACTCATAGCTCATGGCTCAGACTGGTAATCTGTCATACCAGGCATTTGCCAGGTGGGCCGGTCCTAATTCAGCGTGGGAGGGCCAGCCCTCCTTAATTCATACCGTCCCCAACTCTTACTCTCCAACTAAAGCTCCTACCTGTGACAGTAAATAACTCAAGGAACTCAAGAAGTAATCCAATGTTAACTCCCTAAAGGATGCATGCAGTATATATAGCCCTTCCTTGTCACATCCTTGTGACCGTTGGCATATGGTGTCATTTTCTATTTCTTCAAACTGTAAAATCCTTGCAACAAACTCGATTCTAATAAAACTAAAATCCTTTCTATAAACCAAACTACGATGTTCCTCTCATATTTGGCAAATTTATGTTTGAATATTTTGCAAAAACATGTTGCTGTGCATGATGGGGTTTTTGTGATGGTTGTCGTGTGATGCTTGAAGATAGATCAGTTAATCTACAATGTTTGTTCGTATTATGTTTCACATTTGAGACGCGCACCTGATGATGATGATGTCAGGCTTTGATGGGCCATGAAACTCTTCATCAACCCCTTTGCAAGCTTCAAAATGGTCTCCAACCAGTGACAAACTAGAGTGTTCATTTTTTGAATCCTTGACAGACGCACTTGGCAAAACTTGCATCCTGAAATTAACGTTTTCCAGGTTTTTCCTACCATAGTTTTCCCAACCACCTTGGTTAATATTTCAGTGTGGCTGGCAATTCTCCAATTCACCCTCGTTCCATATCCTGTTTTTCACATTTTGACTTCATACAGGAAACACTAGAACCCAGGACTTAAAAACTAATGATATCAAATTAAAGGACTTTCAAGGATGGGTGTCTTTTAATGATTGTTTTTAAATAGTTTGAGGCCCTGAACTTATTTTCTTTTTAATACCCAAATACTTATACTTCAGCAATAGTACCAAGGTGTTACTTAATTGTATCTCTTATACTATATCCGTTGGTTGTGCTGTTCTTTTTACATCTCTTTGGTGGTGGTGAAGCAGACTGAAAATGTTTTAAAATTATCTCCCCTTTTATCTCCTCTTTCTTTGATATTTTTTCCTTTTTTCTGTTTTCCCTATCCTGTTCTACTTACATTGAAGTGTCCATATAATCTGTAAAACTCCCTGCATGAATTATAATAAAGCTTTTTACATGCATAAATCAAGCGGAACACTATGGTCAAAGCTGTACTGCTCCACTTATGAACGCAAAATCTGTTGGGGTCTTTTTGGCATGAAAACAATTATTCTTATTGCGACATTGCCAGACAGGACACTGTTAAAAAACAACAACAAAAAAAAAAATAACAAAACAAAAAAACATTTAAGGACATGTGGGAACCCTGTTTTTTTTCCACTTTAAAGACTGAGTGCTGACAACAAATATTCAGATTTTGATATTTCCATTCAAAACACAGTTAAAGTTATTTCTGATTGAACTACTGAGCCCTGCACAGACATGCCTACCTTCATCTGCAGCAGAGCCACCTTGTCAGGGAAGAAGTAAACCACATACTGCTTCCCAAACGTCGAGGACAGCAGGAAGCAGAATGTGGAGCCAAAAGTGGAGAGCAAGCAGGCCAATATCAGACCCACCCAAGGTCCAAATATCGCCCCACCCAACATGTTCTGAAACAAGACAGGAGAAACAAGCAGTTGGAGTTTTCAGTTCTATGAGTTTTTTTTGTTTTTGTTTCTTTCTATGCGTTTCTCACCAGGAAGGACGAGCCAGGTATGGCGAAGGACTGTTTATAAAGGTATGCGCTACAGAACAGCAGCAGAACGTAGCCATAGTTTTCCGTCTTGTAAAACTTTAGCGTGTTGGCGAGTTCCCGCAGAGACTCTAAGTCTGAAGGGAACTTCAACCTGGATGGAAAAACACAGAGGACCAAACCTTAGTACCCAGCTTCTATTCCCCCATTTAGGCATCTGTTAATAAAATCAGGCTTTGATAAGGTGGTTGCCACACAATAACCATGATACTACCTTATTACAAGGACATTTTGTTCTAATTTTGAGGTTGTATTGGCCTTTGCCGGCATTTCTGTCAAAAAAGTTTACCACAACATTTCTGTTGATTGACAATTTAGATCTGAAGTATAACCATAGAGACCCTAACCCTATGTCTACGAATGAAATCCTACTGAAAAAAAAATAATTACTATCAATCAGTGGAGTTCACTTATCGATAAAAAGCACTCGCACAAAAACACTATGCTACTGTGCATTTAATAGGGAAAGGAAACAGCAAACAACAGATTTTTTTAAGTCTTAGGGATTCTCAGTCGGATATTTTAATTTAACCAGAAATTCCTATTGTCTTGTGTTTTTTTTTTCTTCTCTTTTTTGTGATTTTATTTCTCTGCATTACCAACAAGCCCCTATCAACGAGCCCTATGATGAAAAAAAGGTTAATTGTGCGACCTGAGTAACGTGCAGTAACGAGGTGTCGGCAATGGTAACTGTGTTATAGTTACAGTGAAAGTAATTAGTTAGATTACCTTGCTACTAAAAAAAGGTAACGGCGTTAGTAGCGGCGTTACTTTCAACACCGTTATGGCACTTCTCTCTCAACATCTCCAGATGGGATGTGGCAGCACTAAAATCTTACATAATAAGATAGGGTTAAGGCTAGGGTTTATAATTCAATTCAGTTTATTTCTATAGCACTAATTCACAAGACATGTCATCTTAAGGCACTTTACAGTTCAACCAGATCATACAGTCAAATTGATTCAAAGTTTTCTATCTAAGGGAAACCACTTGGTTGCATCGAGTCATTGATTCATATACAATCCCTCACACTAAGCATGGTTCTAGCGACAGTGGAGAGGAAAAACTCCCTTTTAACAGAAGGAAACCTCCAGCACAACCAGGCTCAGTGTGAGCGGCCATCTGCTGAGGCCGACTGGGAGTTAAGGGATAAGGTAGGGTTAAGGAAGTAGGGTTAATAATAAGGTAGAGTTAAGGGAGTAGGGTTAATAATAAGGTAGGGTTAAGGAAGTAGGGTTAATAATAAGGTAGAGTTAAGGGAGTAGGGTTAATAATAAGGTAGGGTTAAGGAAGTAGGGTTAATAATAAGGTAGGGTTAAGGGAGTAGGGTTAATAATAAGGTAGAGTTAAGGGAGTAGGGTTAATAATAAGGTAGGGTTAAGGGAGTAGGGTTAATAATAAGGTAGAGTTAAGGGAGTAGGGTTAATAATAAGGTAGGGTTAAGGGAGTAGGGTTAATAATAAGGTAGAGTTAAGGGAGTAGGGTTAATAATAAGGAAGAGTTAAGGAGGTAGGGTTAATAATAAGGTAGAGTTAAGGGAGTAGGGTTAATAATAAGGTAGGGTTAAGGAAGTAGGGTTAATAATAAGGTAGGGTTAAGGGAGTAGGGTTAATAATAAGGTAGAGTTAAGGGAATAGGGTTAATAATAAGGTAGAGTTAAGGGAGTAGGGTTAATAATAAGGTAGGGTTAAGGGAGTATGGTTAATAATAAGGTAGAGTTAAGGGAGTAGGGTTAATAATAAGGTAGAGTTAAGGGAATAGGGTTAATAATAAGGCAGGGTTAAGGGAGTAGGGTTAATAATAAGGTAGAGTTAAGGGAGTAGGGTTAATAATAAGGTAGAGTTAAGGAGGTAGGGTTAATAATAAGGTAGAGTTTAGGGAGTAGGGTTAATAATAAGGTAGGGTTAAGGAAGTAGGGTTAATAATAAGGTAGGTTTAAGGGAGTAGGGTTAATAATAAGGTAGAGTTAAGGGAGTAGGGTTAATAATAAGGTAGGGTTAAGGGAGTAGGGTTAATAATAAGGTAGGGTTAAGGGAGTAGGGTTAACAATAAGGAAGAGTTAAGGAGGTAGGGTTAATAATAAGGTAGAGTTAAGGGAGTAGGGTTAATAATAAGGTAGGGTTAAGGAAGTAGGGTTAATAATAAGGTAGGGTTAAGGGAGTAGGGTTAATAATAAGGTAGAGTTAAGGGAATAGGGTTAATAATAAGGTAGAGTTAAGGGAGTAGGGTTAATAATAAGGTAGGGTTAAGGGAGTATGGTTAATAATAAGGTAGAGTTAAGGGAATAGGGTTAATAATAAGGTAGAGTTAAGGGAGTAGGGTTAATAATAAGGTAGGGTTAAGGGAGTAGGGTTAATAATAAGGTAGAGTTAAGGGAATAGGGTTAATAATAAGGTAGAGTTAAGGGAGTAGGGTTAATAATAAGGTAGGGTTAAGGGAGTATGGTTAATAATAAGGTAGAGTTAAGGGAGTAGGGTTAATAATAAGGTAGAGTTAAGGGAATAGGGTTAATAATAAGGCAGGGTTAAGGGAGTAGGGTTAATAATAAGGTAGAGTTAAGGGAGTAGGGTTAATAATAAGGTAGAGTTAAGGAGGTAGGGTTAATAATAAGGTAGAGTTAAGGGAGTAGGGTTAATAATAAGGTAGGGTTAAGGAAGTAGGGTTAATAATTAGGTAGGTTTAAGGGAGTAGGGTTAATAATAAGGTAGAGTTAAGGGAGTAGTGTTAATAATAAGGTAGAGTTAAGGGAGTAGGGTTAATAATAAGGTAGGGTTAAGGGAGTACGGTTAACAATAAGGTAGAGTTAAGGGAGTAGGGTTAATAATAAGGTAGGGTTAAGGAAGCAGGGTTAATAATAAGGTAGGGTTAAGGAAGCAGGGTTAATAATAAGGTAGGGTTAAGGGAGTAGGGTTAATTATAAGGTAGAGTTAACCTCTTACACCCTAAGGGGGTATAAATAAATTTCTGCCTGACAAAAACACACAAAAGTAAATAACTTATAGCCTCACAGCTATTAGATTTAAGAAGAAACTTTTGGTACGTCTGTAAAGGTAAGATGTCATAGAATGGAATAGAATTCATAGAATTCTGGTGTCAGCACCATTGTAGCTTTGACCCTGCCTGAAACATTAGGGACAAAATACAAAATATTTTGCATTTTTTGAACCTCACCAAAATTTTCTTTGAAATAAACATTGCAAAACACTACCAAAATATTATTTATAGCACAAAAAAGTAGTACAGACTTTTAAATCTAAATGTTGTGTAAAAATATACCAAATTTGGACTCAATCAGATGAATCATATTTATTTTAGAATGGTATTAGTGAGAAATTTCTTAGGCGGAGAGGCCATTTTGGCACATTTATCCATAAATGTCACCAAACTGTGCCAAATGTGTTTTTTACATCAATACTGGGGGTTTGGTAAAATTACGAGGTCACGTAGCAGCTGGACCCACCGGTGGGTCCGTAGGGTTCTAGGGGTTAAGGAAGTAGGGTTAATAATAAGGTAGAGTTAAGGGAGTAGGGTTAATAAAAAGGTAGGGTTAAGGAAGTAGGGTTAATAATAAGGTAGGGTTAAGGGAGTAGGGTTAATAATAAGATAGGGTTGAGAGTGGATTGGTAATGGTTTGCCACACATCTTATTTTGGTCTACAGACAATGCTCAATCATTCATCTAGTGGTGAAGTTTTTTTTACTCCTCTAAAGAATTCAGAAATGACAACAAAATTGTATCGGACTATCAAAGTTACTGTATCATCTTTAAAATCAATATCAGTCAATGTTACATATCAGTATCTTTTGGTGATGTGTTTCTGTTTACTGTTTCTGCGACTTTTGAGACCACCTCATTGAGGAGATGATGAAAGAGTGGCTGAATGTAAGGAGACCAGGTGTTTTTTTTCCACCCCTCACCATCGCTGTTAATATGTAACTCCATGCGTGCCCATCTCACAGCTGATGTGAAAAACATGGGGAAACAAATTAACGCTGCTCGACATCAGTGTGAACCGGACCCAGCAGGTGCAGCAGAAGCAGCGAGTTTACATGCAAAGTCAATGGTTGACGCGCATATAGGTGCAGCAAAAGGTCCCGTAGCGCATTTTGGTGCAGCGCGTCGGGAGCGTTTAAGCATCTGACGCACCGCCAACACGCTGCTGCTGCTCGAGATGGAAAAATTGAAGTTTTGCTGCTGGACGCGCCGCATCAACCAATCAGAGAAGCTGATCTGGGAGCTGCCAGCGAGACAGACAGCGCTCTGATGACATATGATATTAACGCAAATGGAAAAGGCTGGATGGATGCGTGGCTGAGGCAGGTGTATGTGAGAAGACTAGGTGGTTTTTTCCACGCATCACCATCGCTGCGTGCCCATCTCACAGCCGATGTGAAAAAAAGGTGAATCAAATGAACGCTGTGCTCGCCGTTATCCCGGGGGTCTGACAAAGGAGCTTCAACCGCGCGACATCGGTGTGAAGCAGCCGTTCGAAGTAAGGCTGCGAGCGGCGTGGGAGCCATGGATGACAGACTGAGACCACAGTTTCAGGATAAGAAGGCAGCGCCGGGCAGATTACGCCACCGTTTGCGGATGGATTGTAGATGGACTGTGTCTGCTGGCTCTGTTGTTCAAGCTTTCGCAAAAGCCGGCATTATTTCTGAGGAGCCGCGCTGCACGGAAAGTGACTCTGACAGCGAAGAAGGGGAAACTGGCATGTCTGATTTAGCGCAGCTGTTTTATTCAGAAACAGAGGATGATGACTTTGATGGGTTTGATTAATACTTTGTAATAAATACATGAATAAAGCACAATCATACTCAGTTTTGCTCCCGCTGTATTTTTCTCCCTGAAAACTTAATTCAACAGCAGCCCCGGCGCGTCTCCTCCTCTTCATCGCGGTGGCTGGCAGGTGTTTTTTCATCTAAATAATCTAAATCTTGCAGCTATATTTGCTGTGATCAGTGGGAATAAAGTAGTTTTAATATGTTTTTAAGTGAGAAAGTCCACCTGAAAACTTAATAATTGCAGTCAGTTCATCCAGATTATCTATTTCTGTCGGAGGCGCTCAGACCCCCACATACCAGCGGTGCGCT